CCCTCTCTATTCCTTGTTACAGAAGCAAACACTTCACTTGACAGAATGTAATTAAATGGCGGTGATTCACATGTCACTCTCCTCCAGACCCCTCTCTATTCCTTGTTACAGAAGCAAACACTTCACTTGACAGAATGTAATTAGATGGCGTGATTCACATGTCACTCTCCTCCAGACCCCTCTCTATTCCTTGTTACAGAAGCAAACACTTCACTTGACAGAATGTAATTAAATGGGGGTGATTCACATGTCAGTCTCTGTACTGACATAACTAACAGAATAAATTGTTATCTTTTACCTTCTGTTTTCATTTAGTTTGCTATAAAACTGATTTATTACAAAAGGTTTGAACAGGTAATGAAAGAGTATTGCTACTGTTTGATGGTGTGATGAAAATTAATTCTTTGTACATGTATATGCATAATTTGTAGTTGACTGATGCATGTATTGTATATATATATATGCCTGCATTGCACAAGTTACATGTAGCAAAAGCAGTCATTCCCAAGGTCGCAGGACATTGGGCAAAGTCAAGTAAAAATTGGTTTGGTCTATTTAAGTGATATGCATTACTAGACCAAATGACCAGTAAAATTTTTAATTTTGTCCAAATCATACATGTATGTGTAAGTGTCCTGTAAAAACAAGCATTCTGAGAGTATTGCATGGCAATACATAGTCCCCTACCAGTTAAAAATTCATTGTATTGGAACAAAATGCTAACATGATCTAGAACTTGTCATGGTGTAATTTATATAACAAATATCAAGTCAATATCTTCAAGCATGACCAAAAAAAGTGCGGAAAACTGGTTATTTGAGTGAATTTTCTAAGTCCAAGGACCATAACTCTGCACAAAATCATCAGACCGAAACAAAATTTGAAATTGATCTGTAACTTGTCATGATAAAACTATATACCAATTATCAAATCAATATCTTCAAGCATGACGAAAAAAAGTGCGGAAAACTGATTATTTGAGTGAATTTTTTAAGTCCAAGGACCATAACTCTGCAAAAAATCATCAGACTGGAACAAAATTCACACTTGATCTGTAACTTGTCATGATAAAACAATAAACCAAATATCAAATCAATATCTCTAAGCACAAAGAAAAAATGTGTGGAAAACGGATTTGCCAGACTGACGGATGCACAGACAGACAGATAGACGGAGTGCAAACCTAAAGTCCCCTTCGACTAAGTCGGTAGGGGACTAAAAAGAGTCTGGTCCAGATAAGATGAATGGTTTACTGGACCAAATGTCCAGTTGATTTCTCAAAGCCTTGGGAACCACTGCAAAAGCAGAAAGCATGGACCTGAATTTCCTAGCATTAGTACTGTATCTACACAATGCACCACATCCCCTCTGACCTGTCTTATATTCTCTGAAAAACAATCCTATGTTCAATCAACGCCACCCCAAAAAAAACGTATTTGTAATAAACTTTTAAAATATTAGATACATGTATAGCATGTATATAAATTTAGCAGTCTGCTTAAAAAAAAAAGTAGAAGACCAATTGATCATTAGCCAATTTTTTTATTGAATAGTAAAACTCCAAACTTGTGAGGTTTGAGTAGAGGCTATATATTGTCAAACAAAATTTATTAACCATTACATAATACATTAACATCTTCAATAATGATGACATTTTTTTTCAAGGAATTATTGCATGTACATGTACATGTATTTAGAAATTTTGTACAATTTAATCACAAAAGGACTGTGATATATATTTAGATAAAACATACAGATCTATACAATTTATGAAAAATTTGCAAGTTTCTTTATTTCTTACATGTCTAACTTATAATACACTGCCGATTCTAAAAACTGTGAACTAGTATCAAATTTCAATATTTGTCATGTAAATATTTACACCATTTTGTTGATGGTCATATTGAAGTATTTGTTTTTCCAGACTGACCAACATGACTAATGTACACTGTGCCGATTTGAATAAATGTCCAGTCCTGGATGATCAGTTCCTTGATGACATAGTATATTTGTAGTACATGTATATATATGCATGCATAGATCTACACAAGAATTTATGAATTTTACTTTTTTCAAACCGTATAAAGTACACATATTTTGCATAAAAAGTTATTTACATGTAACCATTGTAACACTGGGGAAACATGTCATTCCTGTATATAACTAATATTTGTATGTCCATGTATTAGAATTTTCAGAGTGATTTATTAATGGAAATGCATGTGTTCATTATTGTACAAGTACAAATGTATGTGCAGCTGATTCATTTCAATTGAGAAAAATTGAATTTTGTGCTTTAACTGTGTCTTGTCAGTCAAAATAAATATATACATGTACAGTATAAGCCAACATTATAATCAAACACTGAAAAAGTCAATTTAATGGGGATTAAACCAACCCAAGATACATCTACACATGCTAAAGGTGAACTTTGAATAATATTGGTATTTTTCAGCAATAAATACAATAATACATGTACAACAATGTAGGAGTATCTAGACTAGCTCCTTCATCATGATAACAGCTTCTTGTAGAATCCTAAGCCAGACTTAGTGACTCTGCTGTAAATACATGAATTCTTATTCATTTCTTCCTCTCACAGAAAAAAAACAAACATGAACTTCATTATAAATTTTAAATCTAAAATAACCCAATTAGGTTGCATATTTTCTGAACAAATCCAGACTGGAAACTTGTCAGATTTATTCTTTGGGCCAATATAATCTTTCCTTTGATTTTTCTATTAAATTTGAATAATCTCAACCTAACTTCACACACTTTACTTGTGTCAAAGAAAATTAAGTTTTAAATACTTCAAAACTGAAGTCAAAACTACTTAACTAAAGATTCGGCTTAATATAGTTATAGTATTTAGCATTCAAAATGATTCAATTGAGAATGTCTACTGATAGTTTTGGTTTAATTGGTACGAGAATGTCTGACATGTACATGTAATTTTTTAAATGTACATGCATATATGGGTAAAGTTTTTTTCCGAATATGGTTCTGTGTCAAGCAGGTCAAGTAGTTCGTACTCAAATTCACAAAAAAATATCTTATTTTGCCTTTTGAATTTAAATTTAATTTTTCATATTTTGAATTATTATGTGAAACATGGAAAATAAAATTCCCACACTGAGTATAAACATGATAAATGACAATACAATATTTATAAGTTATAAATTTTCCTTTCAATCTTGAGATCTGATATCAACTTCAACATACATGTAGTGCAATTTTCATTTTTAAAAAGCCGTTATACAGTTTATATTTTTATTGAAGCTTCGAATTCGTCAATGATAATTTACAACTTCTTTTGTAAATTACTTGTAGTAGATACACCTTGACGGTGTTAGCCCGAATGGGAGTATCTACATGTAATTTACATGTAATTTACACCACGATATTATTGTCAATGCAGAATGATAGTTTTCAAAAATTTACATTGTAGAAGGGGGGTCTTTCAGCTATTTGATCATACAGTGTACATGTATGTTATTGAAAAGCATGATGAATGCAGGGTATCCAATTTCATTTAACATCTTGGTGTAAGTATATTAACAATACCTGTAATGAGGAAATTTCATAATTCTTATTTTTATCTTGCCCACCTTTCACTGGGAAAACCAAATTGTTGGTTTATGAAACCTTCTTTTCATTTTTGTGAAAATCATGAATTTTAGAAATGATGAATAAACATAAAACAAATCTTTAAATAAAAAACACAGCAAAGCATTAAAAATTAAACCAAAAAAAAACAAATTAAAATAAAACTAAATAAATTAAATGCAAAATTTTAAAACCAAAAAAATATATCAATAACATTTCTTTCCGATTCAGTAAATGATTTCTATGTTTTGTGTTCTTCTTCGATATTTCATACCCTATCTACATTTATCATTAAAAAATTTATAAGGAAATTGAACAAAATTTTAATTTGAAGGTATGTATATTGATGTATTTTTCAATACTATGTCTGTTGATTTCTAAGCCAAAAAACCCTTACTCTGGCCCAGCAGCCAGACTTGTAAAATTGCTTTCGGGCCTGTCAAAATCATCTCTGCAGCCTATAGCTACTGCCTACAGCTGCACTTTTTTTACTTTGTATCAAACAATTGTTTTTACAAAGTCTTCAGTACATACATGAACTGACATTCTATACTATGTACCATGCATTAAATTGTTAAAAAATGTGTAAACTGTGGATCATGGCAATTATTGAATTAATTTGTAATTATTAAAACAAGAATCAATTCATTAAGGACAAGTTCTACCTGATAAAATAAACATTTATTAAAATATTTCAAGGCAATTTGGTCCTAGCAGACAAATATCAAATCCAATATGAATATTCAAACATTACATACATCTATTATCTTTCAAATTCCATCAATTATACCATGTTCCAATGTACATGATGTATAGGAATAAATAAAAGATGTGGGGTAAACATGATTGAGACAGCAACCCACTGACACAAATTTAACCAAAAGACGTGCTGTAGAGGGACAGGGTAACAAACTGTCTTCAACAATAGTCAGGTGCCTATACAACATGTAATAGGTATGAATGTCCGGTAAAAAAGAGTCTGGTCCAGTTACGAAGAATGATTTACTGGTCCAAATGTCTAGTTGATTTATCAAAGACTTGGGAACCACACTGACCACCTCTAAATTGTCCTAACCTAATGAGTTATGGTGATACTTAACAGAATCTATCAAAGTTCTGCCCTCAACAGAATGAAACAAAGTATTAAGATATACATATGACAACCCCAGAATATGTCCTGACATGGTACATGTATGTGGTGGAGTTAAGATCGCATCCCTCCCGATTTAATCTTGATCAGTCAATGTCAGTTCTAAATCTGTTCTTCATGTTTTTACATTGTACTTAACAATCACAGTTCATGTAATATTGTACTTATAAATCTTAGTTCATGTTATTGTAATAATATTTTACTAGAAATCTTAGTTCATGTAATATTATTTTTAACTTACTTGTCATATTCTTCGTTATCAACTTTACATCTTGTATCATTTAATTCCCTTGCCTTCTTCTGCCAGTTTTTTCCATGTCTACATGTAGTTAATAATATTATATCCTCTTTGTTATGAATATGGTAGAGTGAATTTCTCGTTTCTGAACCGATTCCTGTTAGATATCTTTTTCCTTTAAATCCTAATAAATATTCTCGAAACGGTGGGATGTTGTTTATAGAGTTATACACATAAGCTCTTTCCCCACCTATCTCGGGGAGTTCTTTGGCAAATAAGGGAAACGATATATCGAATCCAGGGCGGAATTTGAACACAGATAAACTTGCTTTGGCTATCATTGCCTCACCTATATCAAAATCCAAACTTTCTATATAATTCGGCCATGTTCCTGAATATAAATTTAAAACAATATGATTTTTACCATTATTCCATAAAGATAATTGGTCCAATTTCGATTGGATGTCTTTGGCGTAGTCTTTACTAAGGGTATCACGATCTAATGTATCAATGGATAAAATGAATACACATGCTTGCTCCGGGTCCAATGTATAATATATGGAATTTTGAATGGTCCGTAAGATTTTACTATAGGTTTCTGAAACCCTTTCATGAATGGGGTAAATAAAAACCTTAAATCCAAGTTTACACTTATTGAAATCAAAACAGGTTTCCATTCTACAACGCTGTTTTTTCGACTCAGATGCGGTTTCCCTTCTTTGTTTTGAGGACAAGTGCAAATCCTCCTCAAAGATTTCATCTTCGATATCAAAGAAACTGTACAAATTTCTTTGAAAAATTCTTCCATGGTGTGAATTTTTATGGAGCTTTGTACCCAAAAAACACAATAAACATATGATAATTCCAAGAAGAATTAAAAGAAAATATCGCTTTTTGGCCTGCATGGAACATTTGATCCTATTACTCTAGACTGTCATTTCGAATCAACAAAATTTTACCCAATTTCAAACCAATTTTCAACGAAATCCATTAGGAACGAGAAAAACACAAATCCATGGTGGCCGCCATGTTTACGTCAATGCATTGTGATAAGTTGAAAGGTCAAGCGGTAGGGCTCCTAGTGGGGAATGTTGTGTCTTAGTCAGTAATTAGATTATAAAATTACCGATGAATTCATTAAAGGTGATAATCGTTTAATTAACCCCAATATACATCAACTGTTAATCTAATCAACACCTAATATATAATGCTTGCGGGATTAATCGTTAATTACAATTAAACGGGCACCTGTCGCTTCGTATTACCGTAAATGTGGTAATTCTCGTACCATTCTTTTTAATGGTCTACGATATAATAATTTGCTAAAAAAAAAAAATTATGTAATTACAGCTCAATATTTTGACATGCATTTGTGATAAAAAAAAACAACTTAAGTATCTTATATTTTATATAAGATACTTAAGTTTTTTTTGTTTTTTTTTTTATATATATATTATATATATATATCACCCTGACATACTTTTACTTAGTAAATATAATTAAGGTGTCTGGAGTGCATCCTGTCATATCAAAATGACGAAGAATTTAATTTTATTCTTCTGCTATATTTATTTACTACTAGCTTTAGTCTTGTTTATCTGACAACAATAACACAAATAGAATGAGCTACATGTACCTTAGTGTTCTTTTAGTGGCCTTAATCCGGAACGTTAAAATCGTAACGCCTAATGGCTGGGACTAATGTATCCCAGCCGTTATGGCAGTGCTGAACCTCAAATATATTAATTCAGATGATGTTCATTTTATGTTCTGTTTGCTCTAAAACATGAACTTGAAATTCAAGTTAAGACAATGAAACACACACCACCATGTAAAAATATTTTTTTTAATAATTTATAATTATATCTTGATCGTGTGATTCTTAGAATGATGTATTTCCCATTTAGTAATAGTGGTAAACAAATAAATCAAAGTTTAAAAGCTCAATATCATAAATATATGACTGAGACATAAAAAGTTATATAGGAATCCAATTAACGTACATGAAGAGTAACTGTTTGTTAGATTGTTTTTTTAATAGACAAGCAACTTAGATAAATCAGAGACATATAATACAAGAGATTCGCAACTCTAGTAGAGTCTATATAACAGCCAATGAAATGACGTGGCCACCGGAAAGCCGATTAATCCGATGGATTTATGGGTAATAACCCGTATTGTTGTGTAAAAGGTTCTACGCCTCACGATTTTTCTAATGGATAATGCCGATACCTTTCACAGCTAAAGCATGCAAGTATATTTAAAAGTTACAAAAAACTAATTCTAATAATTTGTTATTGATAAAATGTGTTCAAATGATGATATTAATCAAATACAAACAAAGTTAAAACTCGGCCCATTTCACTTCACCTATTGCCGTAGAAACCATTTGATCTCCCAATTTTTTTCTTAAAACTTGAAAATATGCTAATAAATATATAATTTTATGGGCCAATAGTACTCCCAAATGATGTTTCGTGAAAATAAGACTATTTTCGTAAAATTTGATCCAACAATGTGGCGATTTTTTCTGATTGATACCCGAAATTTTTTATTAAACTGGCTAAATATTGAAATTGTTCATGGACAAATTTCCTTAAATCAGTCCTTCTTTTTTGTGCACTATGAAATTTATAGCCTGCATTTTGTTAGACATTTTATTCATTTTTCATTCTGTTTATAGCAAAGTTGTTTATTTTCTCCTATTCTGAAGTCATTGTTTTTTCTTCTTTTTAGGGTGCCAAAGATGAACGAATGCAGTAAATTTACAAAAGGAGTAAAATTTTCCTAGTAAAGGAAACCTTCTGCCGGTCGTAATATTATGAATGAGCTACATATGCATCTGTTGTCGTTTCAGACTACGCTTCTCGTTCAAAACATGAACCTAATTCATTTTTAAATTAAAATCGTATTGAGGACATTTCAATGGTGACTGCAAAAGATATATATATATATATATATATATATATATATATCAAATATTGAACGTTGTTTTCAATTTAGACTTTTATATATATATCAAATATATATATATATATATGATAATAAAAGATTTTATTTACACCAAGGATTTGTATATGTATACACATAAACAATCTTACTTTTAAATTGCCATCTCTTTACCCCAGTATAAAAAGACAAAAACCGCTACAAATGATTAAAAGACAAAAACCACTACAAATGATTGTTTCTCGGAAACAAGGTTATAAAATACTTTTTAAATAGTGTCTTCCGTGTTGCTTTGATGTATGACCTGTGCTTTTTTATAGATTTTTTGTTGCTTCGAGGACACACATATCCATCTATGTATGCAGTATTGTCAATTGTTTTTGTTGGTGGGTCTCTCGCTTATGTTTTCGTCCTTTTCACTATCAACAAAGAGTTCGTTATCAGTTTATTCAACTAGGAGTATATCTAAGTCGTTACTATTAAGATTGTCATCCCACGAAATAAAATCGGAATTTTCCATATTGCGTGCACATGAATGAAGCTTTATTCAAATGAGAAATTAATTGTAATTTCTTAAATATTAATTCTCAATACAGACTTCGAACATGAAGAAACCATAAATTTACCGACAATCATTTAAAAAAACAACTCAATGCAAGCCTATATGATAAAACTGTCAAACAACACTTAGAAATCAAACATTTACCGACAATCCTACAGAAAAAAAACTCAATGAAAGCCCAATAAATGAGGAATATAAAAATAAATAAAATTTTAATAATTTATAAATATCAAGAATAAAAAACAAAGCCTATCATGATTAACAATTAATTAACAAATAAATTAAGTTTTTTTCCATATCAATTAATTATACATTTTGTGACTTGTATTTTTGGAAAGAGTGTGGATACCTGTGGTGTGACAACTTCTTGTTTACAAGGTGTCAATTAAAACTCATTATTTATAACATGTTCGTGATTTACCTGGTCATCGAATAATTTAAACCTAATATACATGTCACACTGTGAAATTATGTCTCCGAGACAGGTGTATATTCAATAGAACCCCATTATGTAACTATCAAATAAAATGAACTCTGACACAATTTATCAAGTGTTAATTATTTAATATCAGTTTTTTTTTAATACAATATCAAATTATGTCTCTTTTTCAATTATACAGATCTAAAATCAAAATTACATTAAAATAAAAAATTATATAAGTACTCAAATTATATTTAATTAATTATGATAAATTTAACACTGAAACAGTTTATGTTATGCTTAAACATTCGTCCTTACTTCGAGTACTTTTAATACTTTTATTAATGACTTTATTACCTAAGGAGATCTCGCGAGGTTTAACTAGTGGCCGCGTGTTATTACGGGATTTCGCCGAGTTGCGAATCTCTTGTATTATATGTCTCTGGATAAATAAAGCATCCCCTTTTAAAGAGATTCCACTACAACCAATGTACTTTTAGAAATATATCCTTATACTTCCATTGGAGATAGACCATTGATTTTTTAACTTTGTCATATCTTGTACTGCTGGGTTTGCTAAGAGTTGTTAATAGATATAGTTCAAACCATGCAAACCATTTAATCATAGTATTACTAAGATAATTTTGATAATAATTATTGAACAGCAAAGCTACACGAGAAATAGTGAAGATACAACACTATAAAAATATTTTTCTCTGAACTGACTAGATGAATAAGCCAATATAATCCGATGGGAGTGTGGAGATAGAACAGTGTAGTTTTGAAAAAAAACTTGTAGAGTGTAGAAATGTTGTATTATAGTTGTATAGGGAGATAGACCATTGCACTTGGATCTCAAATATATAGCTATCTCCATTTTTATCAAAAGTGGACATATAACACTATAAGATTCACACGACGATTTGTTAGCTGTTATGAGACATGGGTACGTCCATGAGACCGCAGTTCAACAACACAAAAAACACAAATTAAAGACATTTAAAGGGCAATAAAATGAATCGCCCCAATTCTAGAATTTAGACTACATACTAAATGAAAATATTAGGATAAATTTCAACTTTCTGTGTTTCTTTCACATGTTCAAGTTATAAAGATGTAAAACCTGCTTGAATTTAAATATACAACAAACATTATTTTTTGTGATTTACCATGAAATAGGGTTATATGGGTTATGACATGACAAGACAATATTGATACAATTTTGCATATGTTACATGTTTTTGTTCGCTATTTGAATGTTTTTCTTGTCGGATAGGTTATTTGCCTAATCCCTCAAAATGTGCGCCATTTTTTTTTAGCTTTCTAAAGGGATCGATAATTTTGTGATATTTTGCCATATGTTTTAGAAAGTTTGCTTAATGTTTTGAGAACCTTTTTTACATTTAACATGTAACTGTAATTTAATTAAAAGTTCAAGACTTTTTGAAATTAGCAATGACGTAAAACAAATTCAAACAAAACTGACCCTCTACATCTTTACCCAAATCAGCAAACGTTACTCTTTCTAAATCAAACATAAATAAAGGCGATCGTTGTCCTTTTTAGTCTAACCCTTCAAATTTCTCTCGCTAATCTTTATACCAAAATTTGACAAACGGGATAACTTTTTTTTCTTTAGAAGTCTTCTTCAAACGTAAATGTTTCTCTCGTTATTAATTTATTGTATACCTCTTTTCCTTTCTTTTCTCCTTAAAAACATTAACAGTTATCACGGTTATGATATAAGATTACCATTGCGTATAAGTTAATGTTAGGTGTCAGTTTTATTTTGGGATGAAGAATAGGATAAAGATTTAGGATAAGTTAGGATAAGTTAGGGCAAGGGTTAGGGTTAGGGTTAAGTTAGGGTTAAGGTTGGGGTTAGGGTTAGGGTTAGGGTTAGGGTTAGGGTTAGGGTTAGGGTTAGGGTTATGGTTATGGTTATGGTTATGGTTATGGTTAGGGTTAGGGTTAGGGTTAGGGTTAGGGTTTTAGTTAGGGTCTGGGTAATTTCGGGGTTAAGTTAGGGTTAGGGTTTGGATTACGGTTCAGGATAGATAAGATTTAGGTTATTATTAGGGTTATAATTAGGATTAAGATTGGGATAGTCTAAAATGAGAGTAGGGTAGGGTTAGGGTGTTAGAGTTGTTAGGGGTTGATTAATCGAGGAGTAAGAAGTGGTTAAGGGTATAGTTACAATTGGGGATAAGTTTAATTTATGGGTTTGATGGTTGGGTTAAAGGTTGAAGGGTAAGGGTTAGTGTTAGAGACAAGTCAGAGTAAGGTTTATTTTGGGGTTAAGATAGGGTAGTGTCAAGTTTGGGTTATATGGTTAAGGTAATTAGGATTTAAAGTTAATGTTAGAGTAAGTATTTATTGTAGTGTATAAGGGTAATTCTAGGTAAAGTCGGGCTAGGGTTAGCTAGGTTTTACGGTTAAGTTTGTTTTATTAGTCGAGGTTAAAGTTAAACGGATTTGAGTAAAAGTTTGAGTTCAGGTTGAGCGTTAGGCTTTCGGATATAGTTTTTCTATATGTTAAGGCTTCACAATACATTAAATTGGGTATACATTTATTTTGTTATCGTTTTGACAATGCATATATTTATACACTTTTCCAAAAGTTTATTGGGCTTATTCGCTGCATTAATATGTATATTGGTTTGATACAGCTCGATATAACAATAACGAGATGTTAGGGTTAGGGTGAGTGTACAGCAAAGTTAGCAGATGTGTCTGCTTTTGTTGCGCAGTGGGTATATTTTATTCAAAATAAAGAATATTACAGGAGTCATTTGTATAGGTTTGAAATGAGCTGGAAAAGAACTGCTGGTGCTGTTTCCAACTGAAAGAAATTTGTTTGTCTGGCCTTCATGCAAGAAATTTCAGTATTGGCTAAAGTGGCAATAGCCGACCATGCGATAATATTTACTCCCAATGACAGATTTTTTAATTTAGAAAGTCAATATTTCTTGTCCTTGAATATTAATCATTAATACACGTAGATGTAGCTTATCAAAAACATTGATAGATCAAACAGGTGTGTCAAATTAGACTACTACCTGATTTTGAAAAAGGAAAAGGGAGATGGGTTACGTTCTTGATATGACCATTTAAATGAATAGTACGATTGTTTTTAGAAAATGACATAACGTTAAACAAGTAAGTAAGTATCCTGATTTCACCCTGACAATTAACATTCGGAGATTAGTATTTCTATCATCACACACTCAAAGTCTTATGTGCGTCACATTAGCCGACAGCTTTGTTTAATTGCTATTTTATTAACATTATTTTCAACTCTTGAAGATTGTAATACGATAGCCATTTTACAAAGTTTGAACGTTTTATTTAGTATGGTTTTACTTATATACAGTTTTATAATTTGGGAGGCAGTTTCATTTCGTCTCAATTTTCCTCTGATTTAGAAAAAATATATCAAAATTGGACAAGGAACGATAAATAGATATAAGAAGATGTGGTATGAGTGCCAATGAGACAACTCTCCATCCAAGTCAAAATTTATAAAAGTAAACCATTATAGGCCGTTTTTGGTCCCATTACAAAATGTCACTTAAATTGTCATGTTGTAACTCTATAACGCAGACATTCTGACAATGGCGATTTGACAAATTGTCTTATATTCCTCTATGTTTTTGTTCTCGCTTCCCTGTATATTTGTTCTTGTTATCAGTTTCACTCATTCACTCGATCAGTACATATATGTTAGATTGTATGTGATGTATGTTTGGGTATTGTATGAACTTTGTGATTTATATGCTCTAAATAGATCATTTAATTAGGAATAAAAAGAGTTGGTTAGACCTGATGTATATGATGCATTAAATTCAGAAAAGATGGGTTGATATCTTTTAAGTACACAGATAACCTTTAAAAATATAATCACATGGTTGTTACGGCCACGAACCGTTTTTATCTCGTTAAATCGGAGAAATACGCTAAAAATTAAGATCTTATTTTTTAGAAATCACAAAAAAAAATAAAATAACAATCCCTTCAATACTCTATCAAGAAATCATTTAGATTTACTTGTAATCACCTAAAAAAAAAAGAAATATCGACCATTCCTGGGAAATAATATCATGTGATATATTGGCTTTATACTATCCCCAGACCATACAAACACCACAATTCTTTAATTCTATAACTTCGCTGAATTTTCAATATCTTGATGTCATAGTATTAAGTTAATCCGGTTCCTTACCTACAAGAAGAATATTTGACTTTCATTGTCACGCGGAAAAAATATGTTGAAGCAAGAGTGAGAGGGTCATTTGATATTTCAAAAGAGAGTATATGGTCGTCATCAAATGAAGCTGCCAATTTTAAACGATGACCTGGAAATAAAGAAAAAAAAGAACACGGCTACTATTTTTTTATAACCGTTTTATTAAAAAAAAAGTGAACTTCCCTTTGAAATTCAAATTTTAATTCTGGAGATTGTTTAGGTTTGCATTTTCCTTGTTGAATAAGTTTCAAAGGTATATGAGTCTGGTGAAGAGGAACCGTGAGTATCCTGTACCGTGAGGATCCTGTACCGGAAAACATCATTAAGTATCATTAAGTAAGTAAAGGTAAAAAAAAAAGAAAAGAAAAGCAAAGAAACTCTAAATGTCATTGAAAGAAGTCCAAATGTCCCCACAGACACACAGTCTCACACCTGTGCTCAGATACAGTGCTTTTTAGTTTTAATCCAAGGAATAGAATAGACATAATATAACAAGTTTTATTTCAATTCTGCAATACTGTCGACAAAAGGTTATAAATTGTTTGAATAATTTTTAACAATTGATTGAACAAACACTTAATGACAAATGAATAAATTATACAAGTACTCAAGGATTTGTATAGTCTTACTATACAAATCCTTGAAGTACTATGCGTTTATCGGTGGTATTAATGTCATTTACGGTAATATAATAGAAATCCCTCTTGACTGCCTCAATGAAGATAACCAATGAAAAATCACGTTTCTGTTTTGTTCGGTTTTATATCAACTTCCGGTTGGAGTTGCCATCGACGCTTTATTAAACATTCCTAAGAAAAATGTGACCTGGAACAAGATTAAAGAAAAGACAACACACACTTTTAAGATATTTAATTAATTAACCACAATATGTTATGATGAATAACGAAAAACCAGTGTGATTTATTAGTAAAAGTAGTCAAAAAAGAAACTGTACTGAAAAGTGAAAAGTAAAAAACCGGTTCACCAGGTTCAATCAATTTTTGGACTGCAATGACAATTATGCTGTAAAATCCAGATCATATGGAAATGGGCAAAATGAAAAAATCATTACGTATAAAAATCATCAGCATGGGAAATGCTGAAGTCGGAAAGGTAGTTAACTGTTACTGTCATTTAGTTTTATGTCAGAGCTGCTTCTTGTTCATGGAGCCCTTTACTCTACCATATATTGTCTACTCCTAAGCAAGATCAAAGCATATGTACTGTTATATCATAATATGTAAACCTAACAAAATAAAACTTTTGTATTATTTGTAATAATTTTTATTATAGGTTCATTGTCTAGTGGTTAAGAACCGCCTCAATGGTCTTGTGGTACTGTGTTCGCCTCAAGCGCGGATGAACATTGGTTTGAACACAGGTCAGGTCAAACCAAAGACTTTAAGATTGGTATATGCTGCTTCTCCATTAAGCAAGTGGCATTAAGTAGTAAGAACAAAGACTGGTTGGCTCGGAGTCAGAGTAATGTAAAACCTGGTAAGGTTACATGTCTTCCTGCGGACTGTAGTTAACTTGTGGACAAGCACTTTAAAAATCCGGCTCAGCGTGTTGGTCTAGTACAAAGCAGGGATAATATTCATATTACATTAACGTGTTCTCATCCTGAAGACATGCATAATAATTTGCCGCTGGACGTTAAGCAACCATCCATCATCATCATCTAGTGGTTAAGAAAGATGGCTACAGTGCTGAAGGTCCCGGGTTTGATCCCGTCTCAGTACGCTGGAAATTTCAGTACATTAGAAGGGTGATTTTAACCCTCCCACATACATCTCTGGTACCAAGGCCGGAGTTTAAACTAGAATGGGTACTTTGGGGGCCTTGGTTGGTTAAAGTGGCCCCTACTTTGACCAGGACTCTGGAGATAAATTTGAGATATTTCTTCAGGTTGTCAGTTCCAGCAGAGTTGCTTGGTGGTTCTCTCCAAGTACTTCAGCTTCCCCCACCATAATAACAGACCGCCCACTGTCCTTACACGCCCTTGGTGGTGGGTTGTACAGAAGTTAGTGACACATCTCCATTAATCCTGTTAGGGAGTGTACACAAATACTACTGTTCTCTCACAACTTTTGAGAGGAGCTCCGAATAAGGGAGGTGTCGACCAGTACATACTTTAGCAGGTAAACACAGTAGAGCCTTGAGAAGTGCAGAGACAGTCTGACTATGATCTTGCTTTTGAAGTTCTTGTAAGACTGTGGGAGTGAAAGCCCTTCCCTACTGTGTCGATTATAACTAACAATTTTCGTGTGTTCTGGTTGGGGGGACAAAAGTCGAAAAGATGTAACACTAGGTTTTAAGAAAGACATGGAATACAATAAATCTTGTGTGAGGTAAACTCAAATTACAGATGCTGATTAACTGTTTAAAAGAAATATAAAATGTAAAAGAGTAAAACGATGGGTCTACAAACATTTCAGTGTTAATCAGCGCATATAAAAAGCCTCATACTAGCTGGTTCCTATGTTTATGTTCTATGTGATAAAGTTTTTGAAAGTTAGCACCAAAGTAATTATATGTAATCAATTACATTTAAAAACAAATGTAATTATAATTTAGATTTAAAGAAATCCGTATGTACAATATGTAATTGAATCATAATTAATTGCTTGGCATGTAATTGACCCCAAGTCTGGAATTAACACAGTTTGAAATGAATGTATGCAATAGGTTACAAAATTACAAATCAAACTGCACCTATCTGAGTTTCACATTTTATTTTGATTAAATGTACAGATCTAAAAGTGGCACAGAAATATTCAATTTAGCTTGAAAAATTTCTTTACAATGACATTTTGTTCAGACCTGAGTTCAAGTGTGATTGGAAATATAATTGATATGATTTCCATACACAGACACATATTTCTGGGATAACAAAAATGATTTCCATACACAGACACATATTTCTGGGATAACAAAAATGATTTCCATACACAGACATATTTCTGGGATAACAAAAATGATTTCCATACACAGACACATATTTCTGGGATAACTTTTGTTAGGTACACTGTTTAAATCATTTAAAAACAGAAAATGCTTATCCTTCCATAGCACTCATTTATAGATTTCATGCTTTTTTGAATTTATTTAACCTGCAAAATACAAAAGTCCATCCGTTGTAACTGACTACCAGCGGGAAGGTTAGAACGCTAAAATGGAAGGTCACAGACCTTGGACCACTGCTAATTTGAAGCCCTGATATTGTACATTTTCAATTTTTGAGAACCTACATAATTTGCTTTATGATATGATCTCTTTTATTTCAGAGTTGTATCATAAAAAGATATTGTGAGAAAAGATTTGTCCACAAATATCTGGCAACCATTGGAATTGATTATGGTGTTACGAAGTATGTAAATGTTATATTTCTGTAGTTTTACATTAAAGATTGGTGTCTTTAATTGTTGGAACCAAATGGCACTGTTTTTAATTCATTCAAAACATTTGTAGAGAAGGTCACATTCAGTCTCAAGGCCAGGGTTTTTTAATTTGTTCTTTTACAGAATTTTATGTAAAAAGTCGGGTCGGTTTGTTGGAAAAAAAAAGAAAAAAAATCTTACAAAACATAAATATAATACCGCTGGATTGACAACAACACTTTAGTGAACTGCAAGTTTTATTGTGTCGACTAGTTTCGCCGATTTGATCGGCGTCTTCAGGACAAAGAAGAGCCGCAAAGGATTCGAGAAATAAATGTACCATCATTCCGTGCCTTCAGAAAATTAAATGTTAAATTAGTTAAGTGCCAGCAACACCAAAATTATTTAAATAAATGTAAAAACAGAGATACCATCCCGAAATTGCCTAGAAATTATTTTTTCATTTCATTCATACATTGGTAACCAGGAACAACAAAGACAATGGAGTAAACACATTATGACGTTAAAATTTAGATACCATTTTTTTATACTTAGGGATTGTAATTTCTATATAATTTGTCCTGAAGACGCCGATCTAATCTGCGAAACTAGTCGACACAATAAAACTTGCAGTTCACTAAAGTGTTGTTGTCAATCTAGCGGTATTTTATTTATTTATTTTTATTGACAACCCTGCATACCATCGGGTATCCTCTTTAGTGACTCTACCTTCACTTCACCACAAAGGCGTTGGTTCAGCAGCTTCTTATTCTTATCTTAAAACATAAATATGTATATAAAAAATATATCTTTCAGCTTTAATACCAACAATATTTTGCGTATGCTTTTTTGTCATCATCTAGATCCAAATATTATTGCTTAGTGGTTTTAAACATACAATGCATGCCATCTTCTTATAAGTTTGAAAAAGGGGGGTATGTCCCAAGAAAGGAAAAATCTTACGGAATTATGACAAAAAGAAATATGAACTTATTGTAATGGGTTTTTAACATAGGTTTCGTTCTGCAAAATTATTTGCACAAACAACATTTCAAGGACAGTTTCGATTGTCTTTTTTTTTTTATATAACACAATGTGTAATCATTTTGTGATAATGTTTTAACATGCTAAAATAATGCATTGAATTTCAGGAAAATGCTGCTACACAGATGAGTTATATTTATATTACAGGCATAATGTATTTCTTAGGGTTGCTGGGAATTAAAAGCATTAAATGTCCAACATCATACTGTTAACATGGTTAATGCCAAAATATTGCAAGTAAAATGAAAAAAAAAAGTTTTAGCGCAATTACATTTTCTTTTTTAATGTCCAGTCAATGGCAACGATGTTTTAATAATAGACGTAGAGCCACCTTTTTCTTTAAGAATCTTTTGTATTAAAGACGGGCAGTGATGAGGTCTAAAGTACCCTTAGCTGCTATCCTGGAGGACTTTTAAAAGTTTTATGAATTTTTCTCCAATTGTCATTTAATTTGAAATGAAAGAAATTAATTTTTTTTCTCACCTTTACAGAGTCAACATAAGAGATAAAGAGGTTAAAGTTAATATATTTGACATGGCCGGACATCCTATATTTTATGAGGTAAGTTTATGTCAGCTACAAAAAGTATAAGTAGATTCTTCATTAACAGACTGACACTTTTTCATCAGGTGAGCCTCTTGTTATGTATTACAAGGACTGCCTCGGTTGTCTCTTGGTAGCGTGTTCACCTCAAGTGTGGGAAATCTTGGGTTCAAACCCTGTCTGTGTCAAACCAAAGACTTTAAAATTGGTATTTGCTGCTTCTCTGCTAAGCATGCAGCATTAAGAAGTAAGAGCAAAGACTGGTCAGCTCGGAGTCAGAACTTGTGAACTAGCACTTTTATTTACTAACTTTATAAAGAGAGACTCACCATTTTTGTCGAGCCTTCGACTTTAGTCGAAAAAGCGAGACATAGCGATCCTACATTCCGTCGGCGTCGTCGTCGGCGGCGTCCACAAATATTCACTCTGTGGTTAAAGTTTTTGAAATTTTAATAACTTTCTTAAACTATCCTGGATTTCTACCAAACTTGGACAGAAGCTTGTTTATGATCATAAGATAGTATCCAGAAGTAAATTTTGTAAAAATAAAATTCAATTTTTTCCGTATTTTACTTATAAATGGACTTAGTTTTTCTGCCGGGAAATATTACATTCACTCTGTGGTTAAAGTTTTTAAAATTTTAATAACTTTCTTAAACTATCCTGGGTTTCTACCAAACTTGGACAGAAGCTTGTTTATGATCATAAGATAGTATTCAGAAGTAAATTTTGTAAAAATAAAATTCCATTTTTTCCGTATTTTACTTATAAATGGACTTAGATTTTCTGCCAGGAAACAACAAATTCACTCTGTGGTTAAAGTTTTTAAAATTTTAATAACTTTCTTATACTATTTTGGATTTGTACCAACTTGGACAGAAGCTTGTTTATGATCAAAAGCTAGTATCTAGAAGGAAATTTTGTAAAAAAATAAATCATTTTTTTCTGTATTTTACTTTTAAATGGACTTAGATTTTCTGCCAGGAAACAACAAATTCACTCTGTGGTTAAAGTTTTTAAAATTTTAATAACTTTCTTATACTATTTAGGATTTGTACCAAACTTGGACAGAAGCTTGTTTATGATCAAATGCTAGTATCTAGAAGGAAATTTTGTTTTCTTCCAGTTAACATAACATTCAGTCTGCAGTTAAAGTTTTTAAACATTTATTAGATTAATAAACTATCCTGGATTTTTACCAAACTTGGACAGAAGCTTCTTACAATCGAAAGATAGTATCAAGAGGAATATTTTTATTGATTTACTTCCTCATTTTTGTTGAGCCTGCGATTAACAGAAAAAGTAGGCGAGACACTGGGTTCCGTGGAACCCTTACGAATTTTTATTTATAAATTTTCTCTGAAAGAAAATCTCACACTTGAAATTTATAAAATGTCTTAATATTTATATACAGATGTAAAATATAACTCTTGTGACAAGTTAAATTCGGCCATTAACCATGATCTTATATCCATCATATATTTAACATGAAAAATTCATAAAATGTGTGTAGGTTGATGTAAATGAGACAACATCTTATGCACAACATGATTTAGTTGTTGGTCATTAGAGGAATACCATGAAAACATAATCACAAAAAGTAATTGTGATAATTTCAGGAAATTGAAAAATGACAATTTGTCTTTAAAAAAGTGGTGAAACTAACTTGACACTAGTCACATAAGACAATGTTGGAATGAGTGAATATTTTGAAACATGAAATTTTATGATGTCTTTTTCAGGTAAGAAATGAATTTTACAAGGACACTCAGGGAGCCATTATTGTATTTGATGTATCAGACAGGAATAGTTTTGAGGCACTGGATTCTTGGTTATTGGAACTTCAGAATGAAGTAGGGAACCAGTCAGAAGTAGATAACATTGCAGTCTGTGTTTGTGCTAACAAGGTAATCTCCCTTGCATTTGTCATTATTTTTGGATGATTTTTGGATGTCTGTCCACATAAATCAGTTATAAGCCAGAGACCATTATTTATTATCATATTTAAATTTAACCAGACAATAATGTAGTATAAGTCTCTGACTTTACAAAGTAAAGTTAATCAAATAAAACAATTGAAACAATGCATTTGCATTAACATATATATGTGTGGTAACTATAGGAATCGACAAAATATGAGTGCTTTCAATGCATATTTTTAACTTTTTGTTTCAATATTGTTCTGTCAGATGAGTCCCTTATATGTCAGTATGGTCTGTTGTATTTATATTTTATGCCCCCGCCGTAGTGTTTCCCCTATCACACAAAAAGGGCATGGTAACTTAATTGAAAAAGGGCATCTAGAGCGTGCAAAAATTTATAAAAAGGGCACCTACAGTGTATGGAAAATTAACAAAAGGGCACCTACAGTATGCTGAAAACAAGAAAGGCAATAAATTGTCATATTGCATTGGTAAAGTATGGACTGGCAGTTGTTGATGGAATCAGAACTCAAGATAGCAAGTGTATTGTTTCAAAATAATATTGTATATGCATCTTTAAATATAGATGAAAATCAACATTATTTGGGGTAAGAGCAAGGGACCAAGGATGTATGTATATTACTAGCTATACATCTTTGTCAGACTTTGAAGGACTAAGGCATAAATTTACTAGGCAGTAATTACATGATTTGACTGATGTGGCACTTAAATATGAAGATTAGGATATAAGATCTGAAAATCTAGTTAAAAAGTTCACTTCAATTAGTTTCAGGGGACTGTCCTGATCAACAAAAGTTGGGCCCCTTTTTTTTAAACCAGGATTCACAGTATAAATGAACTTGTAGAACTTTGTAAGACTATTACACTGCATAATCAATATCCTTATAAAACGTTTAGATCGATATTTAGAATTCATTTCTATAAAGTTGGAACCAAGGAATTGTACAAATTCTTATTGGAACGATTCTAATAACTATAAATTGTAAATTATTCGAGAATTGATCACGTTTACTTTCGATTTACAAATGAAATGTAAACAGGAAGTGACAAGTAGATAATAAATTCAGAATGAATCCGGATTCATCTACGGATTGGTTCGTTTTTAAAAAAAGGCAGTAAATTATCATTTTTTGAATATGATTTGCTTAGTAAGAACTATATTTGTCTCTCTCATTTATTTTAAACTAAATTTATTTCATATTTTACGTTTTAGTGTCTATAAATTCATATGAATACTTTCATGCATGCCCAGTATATCATAAACAGTAAAGGAAGCACCTGTTTGACTCGTGAAAACTTTTCTGAATGTTTTGAATGAAGTTCTATCTTTTTAATTGAAATTGAACATTTTAAACCAAAGATCACAAAAAATACGATCATTTGACAAAACTTTGACAAACAAACTGCCAATTGTGATCGTTTTAGAAATACTGAAATTAAAAAGCGAACTGTCCGGGGAAAAAACAATTTTGTTCATATGACGAAACTACGACAAACGAACTGCAAATTGTGGTCGTTGGCCTTGAGAAATATTGATATTAAAATGCCGACTGACTGATTTTACTGGGGAAAATTATTATGGTGGTCAATTATGAGGTTTATTAATAATTAACGGATTAGTGACCCATCCGATGTCGATAAGCGGATTAACTGTAATCACAACTTTATAACACCTGTTGTAAATGTTAATTAGCTGAGGGTCATAAAAATGTCAGAAACATGAATACAGGAAGAAAGGGCATTTTTGAGAATGGTGTCATCCAAAGAGGTGAAAAAAGGGCATGGCGTCATTTATAAAGGGCATGGCGTCTATCCATGCTAAACATGCTTGGGGGAAACACTACCGCCGTAGCGGAGGGGGTATTAAGTGTTACCCTTGTCCGTCCCGTCCCCAGAATTGGTTTCCGTTGTCTAACTTTAGTTAGCCTCAACCAAATGTTATGAAACTTATACACAACGCTTATGACCACAAAACACAGATCAAGTTGGAAATTGGGTGGTGTCACTTTTACCGTTCATGAGTTATGCCCTTTTATAAACATTAAAATTGGTGAATTTTTCGTTTCCGTATTCCAATTTTACTTTGCCTCAACAAAACGATATGAAACTCATGCTTATAATCACAAAATGGTCTTAACTACGTGAATCCTGCATCTGGATGTGGAAGTTTACTCATGCATATTTTGCAAGCGGGGGCTTCTGTGGCCCATATACACATTCTCAAATTATTTATAATTGAATTACTATACATTTTGTAAATTGATATTGTTTTCTCATTCATAATTAAAATGTTTCTGATTTTATTTTTAGACTGATAAGAAGAGAGTTGTTGACGAGTCTGAAGGTCGGATATGGGCAGACACAAGAGGTTATCATTACTTTGAAACATCAGCACAAACAGGGGAAGGTGTCACAGAAATGTTTCAGGTAAAAACTAAAAATATCGATAGACGCTAAAAAAGTTTGAGACAACAATTCAGCTGAAAGAGATAAGCTTTATGGTACCAGTATGAATTACATGATAATCATTTCATGCTTATAATAACAACAACAACAACAATACTTTATTTTAAGAGGGTTACACATTTAGCTATACAACTAATCTTCACTGAGGTCCTCATCATAGAAAAAGCATAAACAAAAATGCAAACATATACATGGAATACATTAGTATAAAAGTCAAGTATAATGATCAATGTTCAATATAACTGCATAACATGTTATGAAAATATAATCATGATAAAAAAATAATTGATATTTTATTTTTTTTCAATTTGTTGATTTCAATAAATGATCTGTTAATTTGTATTTGAAAGAATTAAAATTTGTAATATTTTGTACTGATATTGGCAAATTGTTCCACAAGGATGATCCAGAAAAGATACATGAGAATCATTTTTTTTGCTTAAAATCATTGTTACATAGTATCTCAAACTTGATTAGGATATTTCCATAGAGGTACAGATCAAATACCTTATTGATGGGTTTTCAAATGAGAGGGATCTTAAATTGACTAGAGCAACCTGCAAACATATAAGACAACTATCCACTAAAGTCTAACTGATGTGGATGTGAGCAACTATAGGTCACCGTACAGCCTTCAACAATTAGCAAAACCCATATTGCATAGTAAACCAACTTGACAAAATGCGAAACGATTCAAACAAGAAAACCAACAACCTGATTTATGTCATGATAATAAACAAAAAAAAACAAATATGACAGACCACAACCAACGACAGCCACTGAATTACAGGCTAATGACTATTGTAAATATGCATTTTTCAACTTTTTTTTTTGAAATTGTGCCCCAAATTTTAAACATCATTATGACAGAAGGGCAGCAGTACCGTAAAGAAAGTAACTTGGTGAAACATGTTTGTGAGGACTCAGCCTTCCCTAACCTTTGACAGTGGTGTTACAGCACAACATATTATAATCTATTTGTATTTACAGAACTTATTTGAGGGTGTTGTATCAGCAGTAGAGAATGGTGGAAAGAAAGCACCTTTCACGACGCAGTTAGGATACTCCAAGGATCAAGTCGAAGCTATACAGAAGCTTAAAGCAGCAAGGAGTGATTATGAGAGGCTAGGTGTTCAACTAGGAGCATCAAAGTATGTGAAATATGTTATATTGTGTAAACTCCTTATATGTAAGAATAAAAGTAGATGTGAGGTATATGTCAAATAGATAGAGAAATAACCAAAAAGCCTCTTAAGGGCAGCACAGAGTTTTCAACAAAGGACAGGTGTTTATACATTATGTAATCTCTAAATCATATCAATTCTGTATAAATATAAAAAAGAAGATGTGGTATGATTGCCAATGAGACAACTCTCCACAAGAGACCAAATGACACAGAAATTAACAACTATAGGTCACCGTACGGCCTTCAACAATGAGCAAAGCCCATACAGCACAGTCAGCTATAAAAGGCCCCGAAATGACAATGTAAAACAATTCAAACGAGAAAACTAACGGCCTAATTTATGTACAAAAAATGAACGAAAAACAAATATGTAACATACAAACAAACGACAACCACTGAATTACAGGCTCCTGACTTGGGACAGGCACATACATAAAGAATGTGGTGGGGTTAAACATGTTAGCGGGATCCCAACCCTCCCCCTAATCCTGGGTCAGTGGTGCAACAAAACACTACAACAACTGTACAAAACAATAAACAAATTACGCATATGATCAACAGCAACAACCACTCAATTACAGGCTCCTGACTTGGGACAGGCACATATAGAATGTGGCGGGGTTAAACATGTTAGCGGGATCCCAACCCTCCCCTAACCTGGAACAGTGGTGTAAAAGTACAACATAAGAACATTTACAAATACGAATTTGTAAATGATTTAGATGGAAAGATTTAAGATATGTTATATGACAACTACTGATGCGGTTCCTGAGAACCCAACCCGCTCCCTTTTTAATCATGATTAGTAGATTAATAAAACATACATAAAAGAACATACATTATACAATTCTGTGTCTATATTATCTGAACTCTGACTGGATAAATTTTATATTTAAATGAGTTTAGTCAGCAGCAATTCAACAAGCCAAGGTAATAAAAAAACATTGACCATGTATGGGTCACAATATAACTTCAACAATGAGAAGATAATCCATTCTTTTATTCAAAATTACTGTGGGTTAGTAATAAATAATGAGTTTTTACCAGAGATGAATGGATGCAGAATTGCACTCGTTGAACAAACATATGTGCTGAGGAAAGGCCTTTTATTTTTTTTATTTTGATTGAGAGGGCTTTTATTTTTGAATTCTAAATTTAATAAAAAAAAGATTGAATAAAGCGATAAATTGAAATTAAAGTTTTAAATTTCATCAACAAATTGTAGGAGCGAGCAAAAAACATTTCAACATATTAATTTTATGACTTTGTATTGATTGAAGGATAAGTTATGGCCCTATTCTACAATTATGAGGATGTTGTCATTTATTATAGTATTAAAGAAATAAAAATCACTTATAACAATTTTTTTTTTTAGGGACGAGGTGAACAAAGCTTACAGAAAATTAGCAGTATTATTACATCCAGATAAAAGTGTAGCACCAGGAAGTGAAGAAGCTTTCAAACTTTTGGTGGCAGCAAGAACTACTTTGTTAAAGAAATGTTCATAACACACATTCAATATTAGTTGTTGATTATTTTATTTCTAGGTCACACAGTCATTCAACCTCAATCTGATTAAAATACAAATCCTATATCCACGTTTCGCTTACAGAGATCTGACAACACCCTGTCCCACTTTCTGTTCTGATAACTTTTATATCAACCAATAAAATGTCTGCTTCCAAATTTGTAAAGGTGTGTATCATTACAACAAAACCTGAGGATCCTGAAAGGCCGTTCAAACAGAAAGTAGAATGGAAGGTTTTCATATCCTTGTAACCGAAGCGTGGACACATGATCTGTATTTTAGTCAGATTGATTAAACCAGTACTTAAGGTGGTACCTAACACTACAGGGAGATAACTCTGTAAAATCAGCTAAACGTTTTAATTACGTTGTATTGTTAAGGAAATATTAAGCTTCTCAATGATTAAAATTAGTGTTTATCAAACTGCTATATATCCAATGAAATTTTTCCAAGAAAGTGATAGGTTCAAGTTCTTTGAAATTTTTATATTTTTTTCAAAGGGTCAAAGTAAATATTTTGTAAACATTTTATGAAAATTAAACGAGCCAAATTAATTTTAGTCAAGGTGTTGGGTACCACCTTAATCGATTTAGAAATGATGTCAAATTTCACTGCATATCCCCAGTATCTTCACAAATATTGTCTAGTCCTATCACAAATTTTTACTTTAAAAATATTTCTGTAATGTAACCCTATGGCATCTAGAGAGGAAAATGAACAAAAACTTCTCTTTACTTGTAAAACCAAAGCTTTTAAAAATGTATTATTGCTAAAACTGTTTGTTTTCTGTATTAAATTATCATAATATTTACAAAATTTCTCTCCGTTATGGATTTCTAGTTAAGCTTTGTATAAGATCATTTAGGAATAAGCCCAATACAAAATATAATTCCTTAAACAATTCCTACATTGCTCTAGAAGTAATGGCAATCCTTTCAATTGCATTCACAAAAAAGTTTCCATATATCCATGAAAATTTGTTATATTTCAATAGACATTTTTGTTTTTAAATTGCTAATTTTATGACTGAGTATTAGCTATACAAAACCACAATTACAATATTTGCAATAAATTACTGTAACAAATGAAATGAAAGTGTATTTGTATGTATTTGTGCAAATTTAACTAAACTTCTAAATGGACGTAAAAGAATTAATGTGTAATGTTATGCATTTTATTTGAACCTTTAATTTGAGTGTATCGTTAAATTAGAATTTGTTTCATTGTATGTTTTCCATTAAATAGTAAAGTGTGTTTTCTTGATAATAATTCAAAGTGATTTTTGTCAGGCAAAACAAAATTGTATTTGTTTTGATGTATACCATACTTTAACATGAGTGATAAATGGATTTATTTACTACAGCTTGCAAGTTGAGTTTATTGCCTTATTTGAATAAAGAAATGCTACATATTTTATATTCATTACAAGCTTTCTAAATTAACCTACATGTTGTTTTTTTTGCTTGGATATTGTTCAATGGCAATTAAGATTCATTGATTGTTGCTGATATCAATCCCTGATAATTTGTAGAAATAAATTTGGTTAATGCTTACACAGGGTATTTTTTTTCTATAACTTTGATGCATTATATGGTATCTATTAAAAAATACATCATATACGAAGTGTAGTTTTCTAAAAGTTTCTTAAAACTACTATAGATTTATAAATTTTTGTGAATACCAATTTTTGTGGATTGGGAAAAATAGTTTTTTCATGGATATTTGATTTGGTGGTTTTGCCAAAGTCTCAATACAGACCTATGGAAGAATTGTACTTAGTTAGACATTTAACTTCTTGGTTAACATATAACCATAAAATCTGTGAAAATTGGTATCCCAGGAATAATAATGAGCCCAGAGTATGAAGATAGGAATCCATAAATATAATACTGTCTTCTCTAATCGAAGTAACTTTTGTCTTTGTCGTATTTAATGAAAAAAATTGCAATACTAATTAATTTAACTTTGTTTTGGTGTTGCACTGTTTTTAATGTATTAAACATGATTTTTCTTTATAATTAAAGGATATATTGTTGACTGACAGTTTATCAGTTGAATTCTGTTCATCATTATTTGAAAAGTGTGATATTTAAAATTATCAAATAATTGTAATAATTTTTCTCATGAGGTCAAAATTGTATTCAATGTAATGACCTATTTTGTTAAATTTTAGGTGCTAAATGCCACTTCATATAGATAATTTTACCTAATTTGAGCCAGATTTATGTCCCTTTGCCATTAAGTTGAAGGTCAAAGTGTACAGTTTCCTTCATAAATCAACCAAATTTATTTTGTTGTACAATGCTGCTAGAGTCTAGCCTCTTGCAAAAAGTTGTTTTCTGAACAATTTTAATTTGATTAAGCCTTGTATAATTCATAACTACCACATCGCTAGGATCTCTTATCAGATTTGCTTGTACTATATGTTTTAATTTGATTAGTCAAATAAGAACTTAACCATTTTACTCTCCAGCATGGCAGACAAGGGAAATAACTCCAACTCAAACTGTATTAATTGATAAATTATCTATTCATACAAAGTATTGCAAATTAGTTTCACCTATAGTGTAGGACAAGGTAAATTTTCAACATTCCCACAAAAATAAGTTACCTGTATTTATAATTGGTAAAGGTAACATTATATAGGATCATCGTCCATACAAATACAATGCTAACCATTTAGTTATTACTGTAAATTCAGAAATGAATGCATGCATTTATTATTGCTATTTTTGAAGAATGGATGAAAATGGGAGATTAATTATTATGATTCTTGGAAAAGCTGCCTACAGACATATGTATCAGATATCATAATGCAACTTCTTATTGCGATACCCATTCAGTCGCATTATTCCCATTCATAAAAAACTTGCAATAATTTCTGAATTTACAGGACCTTAGTCACTTAAACCTTGGTTATTCCACTGATTTGATTTAAAAAAAGATCTGTATCAATCTGATTATTAAAAATCTTTCACTCTTTTCTTTAAACTTGTTTGTCACAGTAAGAAAGGTCTGAAGAGATCCCATAAGGGGTCACATTTCATACAGATCAGTAGTAAATATTAAGTTAGATGTACTTCATTACTATAACTTGAGATTAGATGCTACTTTGTTTAAGTTTTGAATTTTATTTATTGTAATGTTTTTAAAAGCAAAATAAAAATGAATTATTTTATGAATTGATTTTTCTATTACCATGGAAAGATATATTTGTTTCAGAGAAGCATAGCAGTAATATTGTGATTTGATAGTTGCAATTCTGAAAAAAGAATGGAGTCACATGGGTTTGGTCTTTCCTCAATGCAGACATCTTTGTAATTTTAGAAAATCCTAGCTATTTTCTTGGTGGTTTTTGCTAAGATGAAGTTACCCTCTAGCACCCTTCTATTAATAGATATCAGTTAAATATATCTTAAAAGGAACTTATGCAGTAATAAACTAATTGTGTTTTTCTTTTGACCCTGTTTTTATACGACCGCAAAAAATTTTTGTGGTAGTATATTGGTATTACATTGGCGTCGTCGTCATCGTCGCTGTCGTCGTCCGGCGTCGTCGTCCGAAGACACATTGGTTTTCGCACTCTAACTTTAGTTTAAGTGAATGGATATCTATGAAATTTTACCATAAGGTTCAATACCACAAAAGGAAGGTTGGGATTGATTTTGGGGGTTATGGTACCAACAGTTAAGGAATTAGGGGCCAAAAAGGGGCCAGGAATAAGCATTTTTGTAACTTCCAAACATAACTTGTGTGTTAGTGTATGTATCTCTCTGACATTGTACCACAAGTTTTCATATCACAAAGGGAATGCTGGGATTGATTTTGGGGGTAATTGCCTCCAAATTGTAGGAATTAGGGGCCAAAAAAGGGGCAAAAAAACAAGCATTTTCAAGTTTCATGACAATAACTTGTGTTCAAGTGTACGGATCTCTCTGAAATTGTACTGCAAGGTACCATACCACAAAGGGAAGGCTGGGATGGATTTTGGGGGTAATTGCCTCAAAATTTTAGGAATTAGGGGCCAAAAAAGGCAAAAAAACAAGCATTTTTATAGTTTCAGGACAATAACTTGTGTGTTAGTGTATGGATCTTTATGAAATTGTACTACAAGGTTCCATATCATAAAGGGAAAGCTGGGTTTGAGTTTGGGGGTAATTGCCCTAAATGTTTAGGAATTTGGGGCCAAAAAGGGGTAAAAAAACGAGCATTTTTCTAGTTTCCAGACAATAACTTGTGTTCAAGTGTACGGATCTCTCTGAAATTGTACTGCAAGGTACTATACCTCAAAGGAAAGGCTGGGATTAAGTTTAGGGGTGATGAATCATAAGGGGGTTCAAAAAATTTGAGGGGGATTTTTTTTCCCCTTTTTTTTCTTTAAAATTTTCCATTTTAAATTGGTTATTTCTGATTTATATATAAAAGCAAGTAATAATGATATGGTTTAAATAGGTAAATTAAATTTTTTTTTTAAGTTCTTAGACCTCATTTATTCTGTGTCAGAAACCTATGCTGTGTCAAATATTTAATCACAATCCAAATTCAGTGCTGTATCAAGCTTGAATGTTGTGTCCATACTTGCCCCAACTGTTCAGGGTTCGACCTCTGCGGTCGTATCAAGCTGCGCCCAGCGGAGCATTTTATTTATCTTTAGATATAAGGTTTTGATTGTCCCTCTTAATATTTACATAGAACGGTTAATTGATTTTTGTTTCCGGCAAGTAGTTTATTTCAGAACAATTTTTTTACTCTGATTGTTTGATTTATAGATGTTTATGTAAAGTTCAAGGGTAAAAGGGTTCTTGCTTTTTTGAAAGTTGATCATCTGATTAGAGATCTTAGAAAACATATATCATTTCACTTCTTGCAACTCTGTTCCAATTAGAATGACGTCCTACCTGTTGCTGGTGTAAAACAATGGTTATTCTAATTCTTATATTTCAATAACAGTTGATTATTTGTATTTTAATCAATATGTGGTTTGCTTGGTCTGAGTTCTTCATTGGTCAAAATTCAAATATGACATAATTTTTTCTCACCTTGATGGATTCAAAAAGCGAGACATAGGTATGCTGTTTCCTGCATCGGCGGCGGAGGCGTCAACAATGTATTAGTTTGTATTTAGGTCATGTTTGTGGTGAACCACTAGTGGTAGATCAATTATATTTGGTATGCAGTTGTATTAGCATTGGTACATCTCCCATGGAGACTATTTGGCCCTGCCCCCTCAGTCATGGTCTATTGACTTTGAAACTTTTGCTTAGTTTACATGTATTAGTTTGTGATTAGATCAGTTTAAGATGAACCACTAATGATTTGGTATGCAAATGTATTGGCATTTGCAAGTCTTGTTTCCATGGAGATTATATAGCCCCAACGCCTTATCATGGTTCATTGACTTTGAAACTTTTACATAGTTTACAAGTTAATGTTTGTGTTTAGGTTTATTTAAAGGGAACAACTTACATGTATGATAAGTCAATGGTATTTGGTATGCAGTTGTATTATCATTGGCACATCTCATTTCCATGGAGGTTGTTTAGCCATGCATGTACCTTCAGTCATGGTTTATTGACTTTGAATATTTGCATAACTAACATGTTAAAATATTGCTATTTTAATTTCAACATTTGCATTATTTAATTTACAAAAAGGCGAGACATATCTCTGTGATAACAGTTTATTTTTGTGGATTTTTCTGATTTCACTATTGGATAAACTAGAGGCTCTAAAGAGCATGTTGCTCATGAAAATAAGAATATGTGGTATGATTGCTAATGAGACTTCTCTCCACTAGAGACTGATTGGCATAAAAGTTTAAACCTACTATAGGTCACTGTACAGCCTTCAACAATGAGTAAAACCCATACCACATAGTAAGCAATAAAAGACCAGAAAGGACAAATGTAAAACAATTCAAACAAGAAAACTAATGGCCTGATTTAAGTTAAAATCAATAAACGAAAAACAAATATAATATGATACAGCAACATACAACCATTGAATTACAGGCTCTCGACTTGAGACGGCACATGAATAATTTTGTGGGGTTAAACATATATATATATCTCAACTTGTTCGATTCGCTCATGTATGTAACAACGTATTAGATTTTAACAAAAGAAATCTCTGTATTACTGGAAAATTATTACACCAGGGTTATCGATATCACAAACTGGTCAAAACATTTATTGAATTTTATCATCGGTACAAGGACATCATTCGTGAATATAAATCAACATGTAGACATCTTATACGTTCAGGTATTTTCACATCCAATCTTTTATGGTAATATTCTATACAAAGCACAAAAATGTCGACATTCACCTAAAAAGCTAACCAAACCTTTAAACAGTCTTATTCAGAAGGGATAAAGTTATGATACTGTTGTCAGGTCATTAAAGATGGCATATTTTGGTATTATTATTGATTCACTCATAGGGTCTTTGCATCGGAAATAAACACATTTATTCTAAAACCAGTTGTTGGCATGATACGGGTTTTGTTCTCATATATTTTATGATGGTATGATACTAAACCCCTAAAGGGAGGGATTGTGCTTGATTTTCATATGATGAAGACATAATCTTTCAATCAGTTTAATTGAGGTCTTGAGCTGGCATGTCAGTAACTGCTAGTAGTCCTTTGTTAATTTAAGTATCATTGTAATTTTGCTTAGTTTCTTTTGTTACCTATTTTGATGTCGGACTCGGACTTCTTTTAAACTGGGTTTTACTGTGCATATTGCTGTGTGTTGTTTATTCTACATTGGCTAGAGGTATTGGGGGAGGATTGAGATCTCACAAAACATGGTTAACCCCGCCTTATTTTTAGCCTGTCCCAAGTCAGGAGCCTCTGGCCTTTGTTAGTCTTGTATGTTTTTTAATTTTGGTTCATTCATATGTTTTGGAGTTTAGTGTGACATCCATTTTCATTGAACTAGTACACATTTTTGTTTAGGGGCCAGCTTAGCCCACCTCCGGGTGCGGGATTTTATCGCTGTGTTGAAGACCCATTGGTGGCCTTCGGCTGTTTTCTGCTCTTTGGTCGTGTTGTTGTCTCTTTGACACATTCCCCATTTCCATTCTCAATTTTAACTATATATATATAAAATTGTTTTACTAAATATAGAAAGAGATGTGGTGTTTCAGTGGTATTCACTTTGTTCCTCCCATGCCAAGCAAACAATTCCACTCAAGCTGATGCTTTGGGCATTCATAAACTTGCAAGGAGGTGTGAGCATTTGCTCCCAATTTAAAAGTCCTCACTGTTGACTTTGAGATGAAGAGTTGTAATATTAACTCTGCTCCATTTCTTTTGGAGTTATCAAGTATAAGTAATGATTTTGTGTCATGACTTAATGAGCCTTATTCTTTCTTTTCCATTTTTTTAATAAATTATTTCATTTTCCATGATATGAAGTTAATAGTTGATCAGACAGTTATCATAGACCTTGATCTGAGACTAGTAGCAGGATTGTCTCTATATCTGATTTTAACCACGTAGAAATGAGTGATTATACTTGGTATAATTCACCACCACCTAACAATATGTTGAAGTAATAAGTATCAAATGTTCAAAGGACACACAGACTAGTCACAAAATATACAATGATTTTTAATTCTATATGACACAAAAGTTTAAATACACAAATCCAACGTAAATTACAAAAAAAAAGGGGGTCCATAAAACCAGACAAAACCAAATGCTTGACTATATTAACCAATGGAACCAATGGGAAACAACTGTTATATTCCTGACTTGGGACAGGCATTTTTCAAAACAAATGGTTGGTTAAACCTGTTGTTATAGTCTAAATCTCACTTGTATGACAGTTGTTTGTAGTCCTGTCATGTTGAAAAAATTGTGTGAATAACCAAAACAGACAGTAATTAAGATCAGCAGCTAAAATTTGTTCCCATTGAGAAGTCCTCACACATCAATTTCACCTTCAGAAGTTGCTGATTTGAAATTTATTAGTAGTTCTTGCTGATTTTGAGCAAAATAACATTTTCATAACTTGTATATTTGTCTTCTATGCAGCTTTCTCATTTCAAATCTCTTTAAGGACTGCATTTGTGGGTATAAGTCTTTTTTGTTGCATTTTTAATATTAAATCTAGGTATCAACAAAAATAAACAAATATAATAAGTTAGGTGTATTCTTTTCACATGTATTGTTTTTTACAATAATATACAATATACATAATTTTTTTATAAAAGTTTCAAGATCAATAAAATTTGGTCCATGTACAAATCGTACAGAAATTGCTTTAAAATTGTATCACAGTTCTAAAAATAGCCAGGTTTTCTTCATGAGCATTCAATGAATCTTCTGAAATCTTCTAATGATATTTTGCCTTCTGGATTTGATGTGCACTGTCTAACAAGCTGAAATAGAAAGAATTTAAATTACAATACAGGAAGATACATTATTCATGGATGAGTGACAGGATGGGGGGTTCTTCATTTCTGTATTCTTTAATTTTTTAAGCCATTTTTCTCTATTCTTTATAAATTTTGCCTGATATTCTCTATTCTTTGTCTTTTAGCCCCCGATTATTCTCCATTCTTGATTTTTTTGGATTACTTTTCTCTCTTCTTTATATTTTTGGCCATTTATTCTGCACTTTTTGCCCATTATTCTCTATTCTATAAACCCCATCCACACCTTCATGGATTTATTTAAAGTTCTATTCAGAAATTCAACTTCTTTGTGCATTAACTATGTTGTGATTTTCAACATCCTTGCAAGTGATGCTTCAACCAATCAGAAATGTTTAAAATAATAGCATTCCCATAATGCAATAGCCTTTCAAAACTGGTTCTTTTCTCTGCTTTTTTTTAAATCTTTAACACAGTTGTTCAAATCCATGTTTATCACTATATGATAAAAGAGAGATACCTATTGTTTGCTATTCTAGGGGAGATAACTTACTTCATTGATAACATCATCATCTACTGGCAGTTGTAAGCTTCGGCATAGTGCTGTCATATCATCTGCACCAATATATCCTGTTCTATCTTTGTTGTATCGTAGGAACATTGTGTCAACTCTTGCCTTGTCTGTTATAGCAATCTTTTTTAGTTGAGCTCGTACTTGTCTAACTAAGATTTCTAGATCACCAGGACTGGAAAAAAAAAAGATAATTGTTTGAATTGTATATCTTTCTTGTAGTGATTAAGTTAATGCTCTAACTTAAATGGGAGTATATTAAATAATTTTCACATTTTATTGTCAATTTTGCTATTTTGAATTTGAGATATAAGTTAAACAAAAAAAAAAATATCATCAAATAAATACCATACTTGTTTTGAAAAGACTATAGAATTTTTTGTATATTAATGGGAAAAAATTTAATATCAGTAGTATTACATGTATTCATTATAAAACTTGATTGAAATTTAGAATTACATGCCAAAGCAAAGAAGAGAAGTAGTAACTGACCTTTATTGAGCAGTTTTCCAAAGTTCATGTATCGTAATTTTTTAAAAATATTAATGAAAACGCTTTTATGGGAGGGGGAAATCCACAAAATATGTACACACACCTTCTCATGACTTTCATTGGTCCGCCTTTGACTGTTTCCATTGGACGTGTTGTCAGTCTTTCTCTCAGTGTCTGAACTGTTTCAGCTGAAATATAAAAAATAAGATGTCAGGACAAATGGAAATAATTATATATATGCTCTTCAGTAATCTTAAAGTACACGAAAATATATATATATATATAAAATCAATGCAAATAAGAAATGCAAAAAAAAGTTATGAGATGAAAAAAAGGGGCCATAGATCTGTCATATGCAAGTCCATTTAGAAAAGAAAAAACAAGTTATGTTTATCAAGTATAATATTGGACATGGCTCTGGTAGTGTATTGCTAGTCAACATATTACTATGGTTTTGTAAAAGTATTTTAAGAATACAAGTATACTGTAAATTAAATTTTCCTGAGCAATTTATATTCACAGCTTTCGTGAGTTAGAAAAATAACATGAATACAAATAGTTAATCTTAAAAAAATACATCAACAAGGTTAAACAACCACAAAAACAAGTTGGTTTACAGTAAACCAAGTGCATTTAAACCTAACAATCTTTTTATGTCATCAAAAGTAATTGTTCTTTACCCGGGAATTGTGCAGAATGGTCCTCCATATATTTGAGCACATATTCGTCTGCGTTTGTGATGACAAATCGGTGCTTAAATACATCAATAACAGCACCAATGTAAAAGTCCTGTGGACCATAGAATACTGGTTGACCAGGTGCACAGCCTGGCTTGGCCACTCGTGTCCTCTCCAAAAACTTTCCACCAATGATTCCAGAATTTCGTACTGGTGGTTCATAGATTGTCATCATGTCGTCTGCTAAACGATATGAAACGATGAATCTCCTTCCTCTGTCTTCTGGTCGTACTGAATCCTAAATTAAAAAAAGGGAACATATCAATTTTAATTTGCTTTACATTACAATTTAGTAGTAATTTGGTTGTCAGTGGGAGTTGGAACAAAGCTGGTACATGGTCCTTTTTCCCCACACTGTCATTTAGTCATTAGATTTGAACATGCAATCCCATGATATCTTTTAAAAATTTAGTTTGGCTTTGGTTTTCAATAATATCTACATAGTTTAAGTGTAGGAGTAGTTTGTTCACAGTGGATTGGTGGAAATTTAAAAAACCATCTGAACTGTAGCATCATTGTCAAGGAAATCATATATTAAAATTTTACCAAAAAAATGTACTTTGTGACCTGACAATTCAGTTTAGTTAATTTTTTATATACTTAAGGATGTACTTGGATCAGGTTTATGAATTTTTGTCAAATGTTAGGACTCCTTTGGTTTTTTCCTACGATACAGGCTAAAATATTTTGCCCCATATCACTCACTTTTCTTTTCATAGAAGACTTCATCAGCTCATAAAAAGGTCATTACCAAAATGTAAGCAGATTCTAGATTTTTTTCTTACGATTTGAGACCGAAATAATGCTAATGCTAAATATAAGGTAAAGGTCCTAGTCACCCTTTTCCAGCCATTTTTTTTTAAATTAAATATCTCAAAAAGGAGTTCCATAACCTACCAATATTAATAGCTTATTTTGTTCCTTAACTAAAGCTCTTCTGACTTATAGTATCAATTTTAAGATTTTTCTAGATTTTTTTAATTTCACCTCACTACTTTCAGTTGTTGATTTACTGTTTTAGTTGTATCATGTACATACCAATAATCTCCTTTTATTCATATTGTGTAGATGTATAATTCAATACCGTTTAAATCAAAATTAAATCAAATTAAACTAAAGTCTTTGAAAATACTGTTTTGAAACAAAATAAAAAATAACAGTTCTCTTTCACATTATTATATAAATAAACAGATTAACTTACCATCGTGGCTTCAAATCTTAGTACTTTATGATCATTTTCCAACATTTTGATGAAATCTTTCTTAGGTGGTTGTGGTATAAGTGATAAGCATGATTGTAAAGAATCTTCTAGTGAACCAAAGTTATTGTATGGTGGAATTTCCTGCAAAAAACAAATGGAATTATAACAAACGCAGATGACTCGCAGACATTATTGAGCAGTAAATATTCCTAGGATGATTTATCAAGAAGAGGAGTTATTTAGACACATTTTTGTTTTGTATTTTTTATGTTCCATTATTTGTTCTTTGTCAATCAATTGTTTTTTACTAACTTCCCTTTTCTTATATTTTGCACTTTAATAGCACACTGAATAATGTCCTTTCAAGAGCCAAATTGTTTAAGTAAAAATAAACCACTCTGCTAATGTCGTAATGATTTTATTAATCTATCATTTTCATGACGAACTGTAATTTCTTGTGGAAACACGAAAACACTAACAATTCAATTGATTAGGGGGAGATGGTATGCAATATTTTACTTTAACATTTACCAGTAAATCTTTTATTTCAAAATCCCTGCTAGTTCTATTTGTTTCTTGAAATGAAATATTCTTTTAGGATATATATTTAAAATAATTTAAATCTGCTCTACAATTTTTCATACTATCAGTATCTTAAAACATTTAAAGAAAGCTTACGCATTTAATGGATACATACCATTTTTGGTAGATTTTTCACTTTTTCTTGCACATCTACAGTATTAAAGTCTGTAATTCCAAAGTTTTGATAATAAAATGCCTTTGTAAAATTATCACAGTCATAGACCAAAAACCTTCTTCCGTACACAGTGACAGTTTCACCGATTTTGAAGTCTTTAGGTGTATAATATTGTTTGATTTCATGGTCTGATAACTCCATTACAACAGCAGGGAAAGATGATTCTACGTTATATCTATTTTTAGGAACTTTGTGTCTTCCTATTAAAACTGGGAATGGATCTCGGCCATCATTGGCATTGTGTACTTCTCTGACTTCTAGAGTATCATCCACTAAATAGTACTGTTAAAGAAAGAAAGCAAAATTATTGATATAAAACAAAAAGAAATATTTGTTCCAATGGATATTAAAGAAAAAGAGCAATCCTGATTCATAATTATTTTCATTTATTTTGTAATAACACCGTTTGTTACATTTAAAAGAAGGTCTTGATAAATAGAACAGAAAAACCTTGTTTAGTTTTTAATAAATGAAATAGCTTGCAGAAAAATATACATATGAGTCTTTGCTTCATTATTTTTCTTCAATTAAGTTTTTGATTTTAGAAGAAAACTAAAGAAACTTCAACATCATTAAAATGTGCATAAAGTTTCCAAAATTTGGATTTTAAGAAAATCTCAAGTCAAATAATTTAAACAAAAACTAAAATATCTTAAAATACTGGCAAGGAATAAAGAATTTATCAGTATTTATAATGATATCACAAACTTACATGGATAACAAATGGTCTCATTTCACCAAACATCTGATTTGTATCATCCCAAACAACATACAATCGTAGGACTTTTCTGTCCAGTTCTAAGAACTGTTTCTTGGCATCAAATGCAGAGGCAGTAGTGTAAGTTCTAAGTGCAGCTTTCTCCTTCCTTCTCTCAATGTATGGATCTGTGGGCAGACCCTCTCCTGGGTTCACATCTAAACCTTCACTTTCTAGGAAATTCTGAAAGGGGAGATAACTACAATATCAGATTTTCTGCTTATTTACAAGAATATAATGGAAAATGTTTGCTGTTTCATAGCCTCTCATGTGTTGTGTGTACTTGTCAATAAAAGGAGACTGTTTGGTGACCTCAGATGACCTTTTTGTTAATAAGTGTGGATTGATTGCAGTCTCATTGATCTTTTTTCAACATCTCGAGATCTTTCTATACATTCAATTTTCTATATTTCAACCATTTTTTTGTTATTTAAAATACAGTTAATAAAATGTAAATAAAATTTGCAATGGAATTGTTCCCCTAAAATTTATCACAATGCTATTATAAAATCACATTAAGCAGTTGTTTAGTCCTTACCTGTGTAAATTGGTCACAGTTAACAATGCGGAATATTTTCCCATAAAATGTGACATTCATACCATTGTTCAAATCCTTCCAATGCCAATTATCACCCTGATCATTCTTTGGTAGCCTCTGTCTCTTTATCAGTTTTCCTGGAATGTTAAAATCAAATCTATTTATGTCTACTTGGTTAACATAAAAGTGTTAATGTCTGATAATTTTAACATTCATTATATTGTAAATATATATTTCACCATGTTAACCCTTGTACAATAAAATACTATTAAAACTAATAAACAGTCCACTATGTTAAAATATGTTTATTTCAGTTTAAAGATAAGTGAACTATAGGTCTGTTAACAAGAACTCCGAGGAGTTACGACAGGAGAATCAGGAAAGTCTATTTATTGAATTTCAATAACTGTTTTTTTCCCCCTGTAAAGGTTGTCTTGTTTTCATAAGTAATTTTTTATTCGGTAGCAGTTTTAAATGTCGATCTTTAATAATAACCCCTTTCTAGCAAATTTTAAAAATGTTTTTACATACCTTGTGGCATTCCTGAGTTTTCTACATGTGGCTCGACTACTGATATACTATCATCTTCTAGATAATAAAAAATATCTACTGGACGAACTCTAAAGTACTCATCTGGAGATTCATGGACTGTCTGCTTGAAATAAGCATTGAATCTCAGGACCTAAAAAAATAAATGCATAGTATATATTAGAGACTTGTACTAAAATTATACTAGTACTGTTTAATTTGAGTTTTTTTGTTTTTTTTTTACAAAATTTACACACATAAAAATAAATAAATACATGTTTCAGATTTTTTTTTTTACTTTTACTTTGAAATTATTTTCATTCTCACATTCAAGAATGAAGGACATTAAAACTTGAAAAGAAATTATAAATTATTTCTTTACAAAAATAAGAACATCTATCCCACCATTCTATCTTAAAAATTCATCCATCACTGTTCTAGTTGTTTTATGTGTGAAGAATACTTTTTCAGTTTTAACTGTACCTTTTTGTCCCAAGCAACATGACCAGGAACAAAGTCTTCTGGTGGTGCTTGTTTGGCTTGACCATAAGTGAGTGTTGGACTGTAGTTGGCCAAATCATCAAGTTCCTGTTCAGACAATTGGTTGTAGACAATTGGTTCTCCACCAATTCCCACTTCTGGTCTGCCTGGGATTGAATAACCATTCTTGTAGTTCAGTGTGTGACTTCTGTGATATTTCCATTTCTGTAAAATATGATAAATAAAATCAATGATAAATTGGTCTATATTTTTTAGCTACAGTGGACATAGTGTATAGATACCTGCCTATTGTCAATAATGAAGATAGTGTTGCCCTCAAGATGTTGTTGGGTTCCCGTCTGATAGATATAAACCCTTCACCCCCTTGAATCATTTAAAATTATTGAAAACTTCTAAATATTTGGTTGTTTTTATTTACAATAAAAATAATTAATATTCCAATATAGTAGTTACATGGTGGTGTGTCTGCTGGACGATCAGTCTGAAAAATGCAGCACAAAAAGTGATTTGTATTTGAAGTGCACAGGTCAAGTTTTGCAAAAACATGCACTTCTTTTACTTGAGAGGATCAGGACTGTACTTATGGGTTGGGGTTATAACAAATGGTTTGTTTTAGATTGATTGATTGTTTGCTTGAGGTACTTAGGTTTAGAGTAAGATTATTATGCTTACTAAGGGAGCAAAAAGGGTAGATGAGTTATTTTGGGTTTATATACCACTAAGGTAGTGAAAGATCTTTAATACACCACAAGGCAGGCAATAAAACTCTCCAGTTTTTGTTTCTTTTCAGGAATTTTGAATAACCTCAAAAGAGAAGCATACAAAGAATTTGTATCTGACGGTAATTTTTTACTCAATAAGGGGTGTTCCTACATGTAAGATAGGAAGCTTTAGTTATACAAAAGAAAGAAAATACAAATGAAGTATATGATTTCCCTAAAAAAAATCCATTTTAGATACGAAATCTCGCATGATCACCAATTAGAGTCCCATCGTATTGTGATGAGACCTTTGGCATTTGATATATATCTTTAACTGCAAATTATGTGTAGTGGTGATGGCAGGAAAGTTGTCTTGTGTATCATCACTTTTTTTCATCCCCTGATCTCACTTTTCAGTACATAATATTATAAAACTTAAAAGAGTCTTACCGTTGGATCTCTGAAGTTATTTCCAGGGAGGAATGGTAGTCCTTCCATCTTATTTGTTGGTTGTTGTTAAATTGCAAAGTGCAATGCTAATTCTATTTGGTTTCTCACAACAACCGTACACATTCAGACACTGTTGCTTGTGGTTGCTACGCAAACATACAACTCGTGAGATTTTACGAGAACGACCAGTTGTCGCGACATCTATCGGTAGCCAACCTTTCTCGTCTCATATTTGAAGAGTTTACCGAAAATGAAAGTCTGGCATAAATTTTGAATATTTGAATACCCCATGATTACATGCTATGGAAGAGGTCATTGTTATTTAAATTTGACATTTGAATGTTTTAAATGAAAGATTTTCTTGTGCGTTATTTACAAAAATGAAACACTGGATGGGTAATCGTAAAATGTTTAGACCAATTTTTTTCAAGCTCATTCATAAATGTTTATGTTTGTCTGCCAAAATTAAACAGAAGCCAGTGTGAGCTTGTCTCAACCCTTAATGTCCGTCAATCGTCATAAACTAGTTCTTAATTATATCTGTTGACAGAAGCAATCATATAATACAATAATCTTAATATGTGCACTTTTTTCATTGTTTTCGTTTTATTTATGTTACAAATAGTTGATCTTAATCTATATATTTACATTTTTTGTGTATTTAACTAAATTTGCTATTAATGACCCTATCTTTATAACTTCCTTATGTTATGCAACAATCACTTTTAAATTATGACGTCATATTATCTGACTTGAGACGCTGAGTAATTTTAAGAAGTAGCAGACATATTTGGATACAAATGTAAATAATCTTTTTAACTCTACATACTTAATACTACTTTAGAGGGTTCCCTGAATATTGAAATGTACAGAATTAGACGTACCAGACCTCATGATGTATTTTGGTTATGCTTGTTAGGTTGTTTCAATGCTGTCTTGTTGAAATGTACCCACATCTCAAAACAATGCAAAATAACAAGATATTCAAACACTGCAATATTGCAGACATAATTCTAAACTGCACAATTTTCATATTTATATTATATTTAGTTAATTACAAATGTAAACATTTGATTAACATGATTAATACAAATTAAAAATTATAGGAAGACAAATAAAAATTTCATTTGTTTTTTAATGTGTAGGGAAATATAACATCACAAACTTTCCCTAATCCTATTTAATATTTAATTTCCATGATTAGTTATAAAATTGTTAAAATAATCAAAATTTCATTTAATTTCATTGTTCCTGTCCTGGAATGGTAATATCAGAAACTGGACACATTGTGTATTATCATCTCTACTGTTATTACAAACTCAGTTTTTGTTTTAAACATCCGTTTGTTAAGTAATATTATCTGTCCTTTTATCAGCATCAGATGACAGATTTACAGCTTTAGTTAACCAATTATAATTGAGAGAAAATATGAAATTTTCACTCTGAAGGGTTTGGATGTATTAAGACTATCAACACCCTAGCTACCCTAAAACAAGTCATATAAATAGAAAGGGACAAAGATCAATTAAATCAATTAAGAAGCATTATAATCCGTTTGGACATACATTTGTACACATGTCTGACATGTACATGTATAAATTTATTGTCTAATTACCACTTATTTCACTGAGCTAATTTAACCTGTAATTTAATTTGTTAATTTTATAAATTACATTAATTAATTACCTGAGACCCAAATAAATTACTATCAAAACAATTCCTGATTGTCCAACATTTAATTTTCCCAATTGTCTGACATAATTTCTTTCCTTTTTTACCTGTAGTTTTAAAATGGGGACAATCACTCTGAACAGTAGAGATGATAAACAACACCTATGATTATCACTGTACAAAATGACATCAAGCATTGATTTAAAGTCAGAAAATACTTTCAATATTGCATATATATTAATATAAAAAGAAAATATGGTATGATTGCCAATGAGACAACTCTCCAAAAGAGACCAAATGACACTGAAATTAACAACTATAGGTCACCGTATGACCTTCAACAATGAGCAAAGCCCATATGTATATTCTTGCAACTTTTTAGAAAAAATCTTAAATATGTTGCACACATAGGGTTTTAAGTAGCCTCAAATTTCGTGACACAAACAAAAATATGAATATTAAAAAATTCTTGATTAAACAGGGATGAAAATTAGCAGGGGCCCAGTCGCCCATGGACCCTTAAATTTGCACTGGGCTACTAAATATTTGCACACTTTTTAGTTGCTCATATAACACTGGGCTTCCCAAAATATGGACTCGGCTACTATATGGAAATTCTTAATTTTCATCCATGTTAAACATGTTTATTTAGATTAATAGGGCATTGCAATCGGCCTTAATCATTTATAAAAAATTAGAAGTTTTACTAAAGGATATTTTCTAATCAAAAACGATTAAAAAATATATTTTTGATAAAATAATGAATCAATAATAATAAAAAAAACACATTTGTACTGAAATAATGACTCGTTAATGATAAAATTATATAATACATCAATAAAAATAGTTTAATTTGATAAAATACATTTGAAATTGAACCTTAAAGAAAAGGATAAATTCTGAATTGAAATTGTTATTTTCAAAGATATGTATTTAAATATAAAATTGTCAGAAATTTGTATGTGAATGATGTACATTGTCTAAAGTAAATTTTTGCAAAATTTGAATACAAGAAACAAAAAAGGAAACATTTTATAAGGAAAGTTCAATCATTTTACTACATGTATTCCAAAAATAATTACAGCTCTAGGAAAAACTTCAGTAAAAATTATGAATATTAATACATGATGCTTTTGTTTCATACAGAGTTATGTGTCTTGATTAGGTGGGAAATAACCAAATTTAAAGTTTTTAGTTGAAGTTTTAAATCATAACTTTAAAACACAGATATATCTTCATTAGGGCTGTACCAGAAGTTAAACAATTGGGAGCATATGGGAGGCACATTTTTAATAAGGCCCACTCACCCATAATATAAAATTTTCATTGTATTTATAATTCACACATAATTCTAAGGAAAATGCAACCACTAACAATTCCTTAATTTGAGTGCCTCCCATCACCAACCACAAAACATCTGTTTTGAAACAGCCCTTAGGCCTAAATTAATATATTGTTTGTTTCCCCAATCCCGACCCTACCAAGCCAGGTGTGGGTAGGTAGGTAGGGAAATAATTTTATTTTTTCCAAAAAGCTGGAACAATATTGGTCGATCTGGCAAGCCTGAAAATTGGAACTGAATAAAATAATATTTGACTTAGTTTTGACAATAAAATTTTATGAGTCGGACCCGTTTTTGCAGGGTCGGTAGGGATTGGGGAAACAAACAATATTTTATTTTAGGCCTTAGGCTAGCTATGAGGCTATTGTGTTTAAAATTTATGTACATATCCTACTTGAGTGTTGGAGATGATATTCAGTTTAAAAGCTCATCTTGGCTCTATACAGTCTGGACAGCAATTATATATCATCTTTGTTCTTATCAAACTGAATGGATATAACAATTGTACAACACCTTGTCCTTCCTTCCATTCATCTTTTTGTTCAACAAATATTTCTTACACACTTTTTTCTCAGAAACTAGTTTAATGTGTTTGGGTTTTTTGATCCGTCAGACACCTTAGTCTACATGCAGAATGTTTTATTTCTTTTATTTTCTATATTTTACTGATAAATGGAATTACTTTTTGGCAGTCAACATTACACTCTTACTCTGACAGCATCAATGGCGGGTTCCACAGAAGCATTTTTGTATTCCTTTTATTCATAGGTCAAGAGTGGAATGGTTTCTTTGCATGATGGGAAGTCAAGGCCCCAGCCAATCAAATTGCATCTTACAAATGATGCCTTGATATTACTGAAGGAGGAACTGGTTCCCATTTCACAGGAATCAGGAAACCAAATGAAAGATTCGGTAATTAATTTAATTGATAGGATAAACAGTTTTTAGACCATTAAAATACATACTTTATCTTGAAGTCATTCATTTTGACCCTTTATTTCACAAATTTAATCAAAACTAAACATAGAAGAGAAGAGAAGAGAAGAGGTGCATTCAAATTGGTAAAAATGAGTCCTTACAATGCTACTTTATATATATTAAAAGATATTTAATGCCATATTCCAAAAAAAAAACACAAAAGGATCATCAGGGATACTGCTAAAAACTTATAGAAATGGAAACTTATTATCTTTGTAGTTTTAGCATTTGCACTTTAGCAATACAAAGTCTTTGACTGTTTCATGTGTGAAATACGGAAAATAAATAGAAACACTAAAACGTTAATGTCTTTGTAGGAAGAAAATATAATGAAATTGACAATGGAAATGGGGAATGGCATGTTTCACTCTCATCTCAATTCAAAAATTGTTGGCAAATGAAAATAAAAATTAAATAACCACCCACAGAGCCCTTTAAAATGAAAAAAAACCAAGTTATATGAAACTAGAGAATACAAAAGAAATTTTACATGACCTTGTTTGAATTTAACTGCATGGCATAATTGTATATAACTAAATATAATTTTTTCATAGGTTAGAGAAGTTAGTATCCTAAGAGAAGACAACTCTGGATTAGGATTAAGTATAAAGGGAGGAGCAGACCATAATTTACCTCCCCTGATTTCTAAATTATTACCAGACTCACCAGCAGCTAAGACAGAACAGTTGTTTGTTGGAGATGCAATCATGAAAGTAAGACATTTATAGTAATTAACATGAGAAATGAGCTTTCCCTGCAAACATGACAAATAAAGTACCAATAACCCTAATTCTAATGCAACATCCTTTGTAACGTTCATTTTGATTGGATAACGTCACCAATCTTCATGGCAGCAATTCACAATTGATGCTATGAATATGTTCATGCAAGCACAGACGACGTATGACAGATTTTAAATGTATGATTTGATGTTGTTTTCTGTCAGTTTCATTAGAATGGAGATAACAATATTGTATTTTAAGTCTTGACGGCATCAAATCACCAATTGATGCCGTCGGAGCTTAAAATACAATACAGTTATCTCCTAAATATATGTCAATCAAATTTTTCTTTTTAAGATGTACAATTAGAAGAAAGTCTTTTCCATACAAAAACCGAAAATATTTTTCTTTTAAAGCAAAAACAGTCTTCTTTATGACGAAAAATAAAACATGGTTAAATGCAAATGGATGATATTTTTGTTCGAGCATATTGTTAACATTTCATACCGATATAACATGTTACTTTTATTATTCTTCCCTTAGTTTATTTATTTTGTATTTACATTGTATCATAGGTCAAATTTATTTGTTCAGTGTATGTTCAATGGTGTTAATATGTCCTTTGATTGAGTTAAGCTATTTCAGTTGATATTTTATAGTGTGTCTTTCTATGTTGTGATGTTACACTATTGTTTCAGAAAAAGGGTGAAGGTTTGGTACCATTAAAACGTTTAAACCCGCTGCATTTGTTTGCACCTGTCCTAGGTCAGGAATCTGATGTTCAATAGTTGTCGTTTGTTGATGTGGTTCGTAGGTGTTTCTCGTTTCTCGTTTTTTATATAGATTAGACCGTTGGTTTTCCCGTTTGAATGGTTGACCGTACTGTGACCTATAGGGGTTTACTTTTGTAAATTTTGACTTGGATGGAGAGTTGTCTCATTGGCACTCATACCACATCTTCTTATATCTATTAAACAATGCTAAAGAACAATTACTTCAGTGTAACAGATATACACATTTCTGATTTCTATATAACGACATGATTATATGGAAAGTAGATTATTTTATTGTTGACAATTAATTTGTATGCTTATGTGTCTATTAGAACTCATATTGAAGGAAATGCAGAACTAAATTTTCAATAAAACCTATTTTTATGCCTAAAAATGTCTATTCTAAAGGTTTTATTGACACATAAAGAAGTTAATTGTGAAAAATCCAGGTCTCCCAAAATGATACTCAAATATGAAATTGAGCCAAAAAAGTTCTACCAACACACAATTCCTTAAGGATGAAATCCTAGACAAACACATTTTCTTGGCCTTGCAGAAGGTTCTATTTACACTAATATGTGATGTATGTTTCTGTATATGTTTCAGATAAATGGAGAGACATGTGATAAGATGACACACAGTGATGTGATGACAACTCTAAAGAATGCTGGATCTACCGTCACCCTAACTGTTAAATATTTTAAACCAGCAGCTCCATTCTTGAACAAGCAGATGACACCTGGTATGATTAACAATCTATTGTAATCCAACAGATTTTTATGCCTTTTTTTGTTTCGAAAAATGATGAGAATATACTGACTCAAGTGGGTTATTTTTGCAAAAATTACAAGGATTTTTTTTCCATGGTTTTTCCAGACCCTGAATCTGATCTTTCTTAAATGTCAGATTTATGCAAGGGGATATTTTTACAGTTTTATCTTCATTGTGAAATTAGTAAAAATTAACACTTCCAGAAATTTTTCCAATTATTAGTTAACCCAGGAGAATAGTTAAACTTGGAACTTCCCTTATCTAAATAAGTTAAAAAAAATGTGAAAATAATTTGCTGTAAACCTGGCTAGATAGAGCTAAGCAAGAAAAAAGTATATGTGAAAATGAGTTGGTTTACAGTATGTTGGCAATAGAATAGAACCTAAATGGGAGGATATGATTCTGACACTAGTCTTATGAAATACAATGTTTTAGCAAATAATGGGAAAATAAGATTTCCAGCCCTTTACACTCTGTTCTTTATCTTGAGGAAGGTTACTTGAAAGATGTCAGTGAAGAATAAATCTACCAAATATGATCACACACTTTTGGACAAGATATAAACAAACCTAGAATTGACTTTTAGTAGTACTTATCAGTATCTTGTTTTTGAAGAAAAATGTGGCAGGTAGTCAGCAAATTATATAATAGAATATTATCAATTTTGTTAAACCTCATGCCAAAATTTTGTCACTTTGACCTACATATTCTGCCTGTGAAAATAACAATGCAGTAAAATGGAGATATTTATCTTATGCAATTGCCATTATATCAGAGGCTATCTGAAACCTAACTATTACTATGTAATTTACTAATTACCACGATAACAAAGGCTATCGGAGACCAAATTATTCTTATGTAATTGCCGTGATATCACAGGCTATCTGAGACCAAATTATTCCTATGTATTCCAAATATTAATGAATCAGCATTTTTCTTCACTGAATGGGTCTACATTATTTTTACTCTTTATAGATAGTCCAAATTACACTGAATGGGTCTACATTATTTTTACTCTTTACAGATAGTCCAAATTACACTTAATGGGTCTACATTATTTTTACTCTTTACAGATAGTCCAAATTAGTCCAAATTACACTGAATGGGTCTACGTTATTCTTACTCTTTACAGATTGTCCAAATTACAAATTACACTGAATGGGTCTACGTTATTTTTACTCTTTACAGATAGTCCAAATTACACTGAATGGGTCTACGTTATTCTTACTCTTTACAGATAGTCCAAATTACACTGAATGGGTCTACATTATTTTTACTCTTTACAGATAGTCCAAATTACACTTAATGGGTCTACATTATTTTTACTCTTTACAGATAGTCCAAATTAGTCCAAATTACACTGAATGGGTCTACGTTATTCTTACTCTTTACAGATAGTCCAAATTACACTGAATGGGTCTACATTATTTTTACTCTTTACAGATAGTCCAAATTACACTTAATGGGTCTACATTATTTTTACTCTTTACAGATAGTCCAAATTACACTTAATGGGTCTACATTATTTTTACTCTTTACAGATAGTCCAAATTAGTCCAAATTACACTGAATGGGTCTACGTTATTCTTACTCTTTACAGATAGTCCAAATTACACTGAATGGGTCTACATTATTTTTACTCTTTACAGATAGTCCAAATTACACTTAATGGGTCTACATTATTTTTACTCTTTACAGATAGTCCAAATTACACTTAATGGGTCTACATTATTTTTACTCTTTACAGATAGTCCAAATTAGTCCAAATAACACTTAATGGGTCTACGTTATTCTTACTCTTTACAGATAGTCCAAATTGCACAGAATGGGTCTACATTATTTTTACTCTTTACAGATAGTCCAAATTGCACTGAATGGGTCTACGTTATTCTTACTCTTTACAGATAGTCCAAATTACACTGAATGGGTCTACATTATTTTTACTCTTTACAGATAGTCCAAATTACACTTAATGGGTCTACGTTATTCTTACTCTTTACAGATAGTCCAAATTGCACAGAATGGGTCTACGTTATTTTTACTCTTTAAAGATAGTCCAAATTACACTGAATGGGTCTACGTTATTCTTACTCTTTACAGATAGTCCAAATTACACTGAATGGGTCTACATTATTTTTACTCTTTACAGATAGTCCAAATTACACTGAATGGGTCTACATTATTCTTACTCTTTACAGATAGTCCAAATTACACTGAATGGGTCTACATTATTCTAACTCTTTACAGATAGTCCAAATTACACTGAATGGGTCTACGTTATTCTTACTCTTTACAGATTGTCCAAATTACACTGAATGGGTCTACATTATTTTTACTCTTTACAGATAGTCCAAATTACACTGAATGGGTCTACGTTATTCTTACTCTTTACAGATAGTCCAAATTACAAATTACACTGAATGGGTCTACGTTATTCTTACTCTTTACAGATAGTCCAAATTACACTGAATGGGTCTACATTATTTTTACTCTTTACAGATAGTCCAAATTACACTTAATGGGTCTACGTTATTCTTACTCTTAACAGATAGTCCAAATTGCACAGAATGGGTCTATGTTATTCTTACTCTTTACAGATAGTCCAAATTACACTGAATGGGTCTACATTATTCTAACTCTTTACAGATAGTCCAAATTACGCTGAATGGGTCTACGTTATTCTTACTCTTTACAGATAGTCCAAATTACACTGAATGGGTCTACGTTATTCTTACTCTTTACAGATAGTCCAAATTACACTGAATGGGTCTACGTTATTCTAACTCTTTACAGATAGTCCAAATTACACTTAATGGGTCTACATTATTCTTACTCTTTACAGATAGTCCAAATTACACTGAATGGGTCTACATTATTTTTACTCTTTACAGATAGTCCAAATTACACTGAATGGGTCTACGTTATTCTTACTATTTACAGATAGTCCAAATTAATCCAAATTACACTGAATGGGTGTACGTTATTCTAACTCTTTACAGATAGTCCAAATTACACTGAATGGGTCTACATTATTCTTACTCTTTACAGATAGTCCAAATTACACTTAATGGGTCTACATTATTTTTATTCTTTACAGATAGTCCAAATTAGTCCAAATTACACTGAATGGGTCTACTTATTCTTACTCTTTACAGATTGTCCAAATTACAAATTACACTGAATGGGTCTACGTTATTTTTACTCTTTACAGATAGTCCAAATTACACTGAATGGGTATACGTTATTCTTACTCTTTACAGATAGTCCAAATTACACTGAATGGGTCTACATTATTTTTACTCTTTACAGATAGTCCAAATTACACTTAATGGGTCTACATTATTCTTACTCTTAACAGATAGTCCAAATTACACTGAATGGGTCTACGTTATTCTTACTCTTAACAGATAGTCCAAATTACACTGAATGGGTCTACGTTATTCTTACTCTTTACAGATAGTCCAAATTACACTGAATAGGTCTACATTATTTTTACTCTTTACAGATAGTCCAAATTACACTTAATGGGTCTACGTTATTCTTACTCTTTACAGATAGTCCAAATTACACTGAATAGGTCTACATTATTTTTACTCTTTATAGATAGTCCAAATTAGTCCAAATTGCACTGAATGGGTCTACGTTATTCTTACTCTTTACAGATTGTCCAAATTACAAATTACACTGAATGGGTCTACGTTATTTTTACTCTTTACAGATAGTCCAAATTACACTGAATGGGTCTACGTTATTCTTACTCTTTACAGATAGTCCAAATTACACTGAATGGGTCTACATTATTTTTACTCTTTACAGATAGTCCAAATTACACTTAATGGGTCTACATTATTTTTACTCTTTACAGATAGTCCAAATTACACTGAATGGGTCTATGTTATTCTTACTCTTGACAGATAGTCCAAATTACACTGAATGGGTCTACGTTATTCTTACTCTTTACAGATAGTCCAAATTACACTGAATGGGTCTACATTATTTTTACTCTTTACAGATAGTCCAAATTACACTGAATGGGTCTACGTTATTCTAACTCTTTACAGATAGTCCAAATTACACTGAATGGGTCTACGTTATTCTTACTCTTTACAGATAGTCCAAATTACACTGAATGGGTCTACGTTATTCTTACTCTTTACAGATAGTCCAAATTAGTCCAAATTACACTGAATGGGTCTACGTTATTCTAACTCTTTACAGATAGTCCAAATAACACTGAATGGGTCTACGTTATTCTTACTCTTTACAGATAGTCCAAATTACACTGAATGGATCTACGTTATTCTAACTCTTTACAGATAGTCCAAATTACACTGAATGGGTCTACGTTATTCTTACTCTTTACAGATAGTCCAAATTACACTGAATGGGTCTACATTAGTCTTACTCTTTACAGATAGTCCAAATTACACTGAATGGGTCTACGTTATTCTAACTCTATACAGATAGTCCAAATTACACTGAATGGGTCTACGTTATTCTTACTCTATACAGATAGTCCAAATTACACTGAATGGGTCTACATTATTCTAACTCTATACAGATAGTCCAAATTACACTGAATGGGTCTACATTATTTTTACTCTTTACAGATAGTCCAAATTACACTGAATGGGTCTACATTATTCTTACTCTTTACAGATAGTCCAAATTACACTGAATGGGTCTACGTTATTCTAACTCTATACAGATAGTCCAAATTACACTGAATGGGTCTACATTATTTTTACTCTTTACAGATAGTCCAAATTACACTGAATGGGTCTACGTTATTCCTACTCTTTACAGATAGTCCAAATTACACTGAATGGGTCTACATTATTTTTACTCTTTACAGATAGTCCAAATTACACTGAATGGGTCTACATTATTTTTACTCTTTACAGATAGTCCAAATTACACTGAATGGGTCTACATTATTCTTACTCTTTACAGATAGTCCAAATTACACTGAATGGGTCTACGTTATTCTAACTCTATACAGATAGTCCAAATTACACTGAATGGGTCTACATTATTTTTACTCTTTACAGATAGTCCAAATTACACTGAATGGGTCTACGTTATTCTTACTCTTTACAGATAGTCCAAATTACACTGAATGGGTCTACATTATTTTTACTCTTTACAGATAGTCCAAATTACACTGAATGGGTCTACATTATTTTTACTCTTTACAGATAGTCCAAATTACACTGAATGGGTCTACATTATTCTTACTCTTTACAGATAGTCCAAATTACACTGAATGGGTCTACATTATTCTAACTCTTTACAGATAGTCCAAATTACACTGAATGGGTCTACGTTATTCTTACTCTTTACAGATTGTCCAAATTACACTGAATGGGTCTACATTATTTTTACTCTTTACAGATAGTCCAAATTACACTGAATGGGTCTACGTTATTCTTACTCTTTACAGATAGTCCAAATTACAAATTACACTGAATGGGTCTACGTTATTCTTACTCTTTACAGATAGTCCAAATTACACTGAATGGGTCTACATTATTTTTACTCTTTACAGATAGTCCAAATTACACTTAATGGGTCTACGTTATTCTTACTCTTAACAGATAGTCCAAATTGCACAGAATGGGTCTATGTTATTCTTACTCTTTACAGATAGTCCAAATTACACTGAATGGGTCTACATTATTCTAACTCTTTACAGATAGTCCAAATTACACTGAATGGGTCTACGTTATTCTTACTCTTTACAGATAGTCCAAATTACACTGAATGGGTCTACGTTATTCTTACTCTTTACAGATAGTCCAAATTACACTGAATGGGTCTACGTTATTCTAACTCTTTACAGATAGTCCAAATTACACTTAATGGGTCTACATTATTCTTACTCTTTACAGATAGTCCAAATTACACTGAATGGGTCTACATTAGTCTTACTCTTTACAGATAGTCCAAATTACACTTAATGGGTCTACATTATTTTTACTCTTTACAGATAGTCCAAATTACACTGAATGGGTCTACGTTATTCTTACTATTTACAGATAGTCCAAATTAATCCAAATTACACTGAATGGGTGTACGTTATTCTAACTCTTTACAGATAGTCCAAATTACACTGAATGGGTCTACATTATTCTTACTCTTTACAGATAGTCCAAATTACACTTAATGGGTCTACATTATTTTTATTCTTTACAGATAGTCCAAATTAGTCCAAATTACACTGAATGGGTCTACGTTATTCTTACTCTTTACAGATTGTCCAAATTACAAATTACACTGAATGGGTCTACGTTATTTTTACTCTTTACAGATAGTCCAAATTACACTGAATGGGTCTACGTTATTCTTACTCTTTACAGATAGTCCAAATTACACTGAATGGGTCTACATTATTCTTACTCTTTACAGATAGTCCAAATTAGTCCAAATTACACTGAATGGGTCTACGTTATTCTAACTCTTTACAGATAGTCCAAATTACACTGAATGGGTCTACGTTATTCTTACTCTTTACAGATAGTCCAAATTACACTGAATGGGTCTACATTATTTTTACTCTTTACAGATAGTCCAAATTACACTTAATGGGTCTACATTATTCTTACTCTTAACAGATAGTCCAAATTACACTGAATGGGTCTACGTTATTCTTACTCTTTACAGATAGTCCAAATTACACTGAATAGGTCTACATTATTTTTACTCTTTACAGATAGTCCAAATTACACTGAATGGGTCTACGTTATTCTTACTCTTTACAGATAGTCCAAATTACACTGAATGGGTCTACATTATTCTTACTCTTTACAGATAGTCCATATTACACTGAATGGGTCGACATTATTTTTACTCTTTAAAGATAGTCCAAATTAGTCCAAATTGCACTGAATGGGTCTACGTTATTCTTACTCTTTACAGATTGTCCAAATTACAAATTACACTGAATGGGTCTACGTTATTTTTACTCTTTACAGATAGTCCAAATTACACTGAATGGGTCTACGTTATTCTTACTCTTTACAGATAGTCCAAATTACACTGAATGGGTCTACATTATTTTTACTCTTTACAGATAGTCCAAATTACACTTAATGGGTCTACATTATTTTTACTCTTTACAGATAGTCCAAATTACACTGAATGGGTCTATGTTATTCTTACTCTTGACAGATAGTCCAAATTACACTGAATGGGTCTACGTTATTCTTACTCTTTACAGATAGTCCAAATTACACTGAATGGGTCTACATTATTTTTACTCTTTACAGATAGTCCAAATTACACTGAATGGGTCTACATTATTCTTACTCTTTACAGATAGTCCAAATTACACTGAATGGGTCTACGTTATTCTAACTCTTTACAGATAGTCCAAATTACACTGAATGGGTCTACGTTATTCTAACTCTTTACAGATAGTCCAAATAACACTGAATGGGTCTACGTTATTCTTACTCTTTACAGATAGTCCAAATTACACTGAATGGGTCTACGTTATTCTAACTCTTTACAGATAGTCCAAATTACACTGAATGGGTCTACGTTATTCTTACTCTTTACAGATAGTCCAAATTACACTGAATGGGTCTACATTAGTCTTACTCTTTACAGATAGTCCAAATTACACTGAATGGGTCTACGTTATTCTAACTCTATACAGATAGTCCAAATTACACTGAATGGGTCTACGTTATTCTTACTCTATACAGATAGTCCAAATTACACTGAATGGGTCTACATTATTCTTACTCTTTACAGATAGTCCAAATTACACTGAATGGGTCTACGTTATTCTAACTCTATACAGATAGTCCAAATTACACTGAATGGGTCTACATTATTTTTACTCTTTACAGATAGTCCAAATTACACTGAATGGGTCTACATTATTCTTACTCTTTACAGATAGTCCAAATTACACTGAATGGGTCTACGTTATTCTAACTCTATACAGATAGTCCAAATAACACTGAATGGGTCTACATTATTTTTACTCTTTACAGATAGTCCAAATTACACTGAATGGGTCTACGTTATTCTTACTCTTTACAGATAGTCCAAATTACACTGAATGGGTCTACATTATTTTTACTCTTTACAGATAGTCCAAATTACACTGAATGGGTCTACATTATTCTTACTCTTTACAGATAGTCCAAATTACACTGAATGGGTCTACGTTATTTTTACTCTTTACAGATAGTCCAAATTACACTGAATGGGTCTACATTATTTTTACTCTTTACAGATAGTCCAAATTACACTGAATGGGTCTACATTATTCTTACTCTTTACAGATAGTCCAAGTTACAACAATCAAGACAGCAATAGTCAGGTGAGTTAAATTTCTATGTTCAAAAGAGTAACTTTGGTATCAAAATATGGCTGCCTGGACTGGCATTTTCTCGCAGAAAGACCCTTCCAAAGGAGGAATCTGTATGGGATCTACAAGTTCAAGGTCATTCATTCATGTCGTTGGTGATCTTTTTTTAAGGTCAAAATCTCTGACCTGGCCCAATAAGTATAAAATAAAAAGATGTGGTATGATTGCCAATGAGACAACTTATCACCAGAGACCAAATGACATATATATACAACTATAGGCCATCATACTACCTTCAACAATGAGCAAAACCCATATCGCATTGTCAGCTATAAAAGGCCCCAACGACAAATGTAAAACATTTCAAATGAGAAAACTAATGGCCTGATTTATATATACTAAACAATGAACGAAAAAACAAATATGATATACAGCACAACAACTGAATTACAGGCTCCTGACCTGGGACAGGCACATGCAGAATTTGGCAGGGTTAAACTAGTTTGTTGACATCTCATAATATGTCTTTCAAAAGTGAAATTATAGTTGATTACATTATTTTATAATATATTTTAGTCTAGAGAAATGTTTCCTGGTTTGGAGAGACAATGGCGTGTCTATGTTTCAATACAGTTATTGTTTGCCTATTTGACAAGATTCTGCCCTGGTACAGATAAACTAAGGTAAGTTAAATATTTGAACAAATTCTTTTCTTCTTGGGAAATGTTTTTAAGAAGGATAAAGAATTTAATATATATTTCTTAATATAACTCAAGTATTTCTTCCTGAATCATTATGAAATGTTCATACTGTGTTAAAGATATATAATGACAACATACCCTCTGATTTTAATGATTCTCAGAGTAATTTTTGCAGATTTATGGGACTTAGCTTTAATTATAAAAATGTAAGCATATACTTCTTTCAAAAACTCAAGTTTGTCTTGACCTAATTACACTTTTGATTTCCATTTGCAGTCTTTAATCCTCAAAACTATGTTATTGTTCATGTGTCTCATGATTTCTTTTGAGTCCAAAAGAGCTCAAGCAAAAAAGACTTGAGAAACATAGATGAGCTTAAAAAAATCTTTGAATAAATGTGAACAAGATGATGCTTGGAATTTCTTGTTGAACCTTTTTTGATTAACATGTTTATTGTTTGATTTGAATTATTGTTTGTTATTGTGAATCATATAGAAAAATTAACCCATAGATTTAGCAAAAGATTGTTTCTTTTATTTCAGAACTAATGCTTTTGAAGTGATTGGTGTGGATGGTTCATCGACAGGTGTCATTCATTGTGATGACAGTCATTCATTAGCTGATTGGATCAGAGCAATATCCAGTAATATTTCATTTCTCATTTCAAAAATGGTAAGTGGTATTTCATAGAACCCATATACAATTGTGTCCTAGACCCAGTGAACATTGGGAGGAATCCCATATAATAATCACTGAACCTGTCCTGTCTTTTGATAGGAATATTTGAATATGGCATTTCCTGACAATTTTTTTTTTCATACATATTGTGTAAAAATTATTTTTCATCATTTCAGCCTGTGCAAGGATGGATTTTTTTTAATCAGTTCTAAGCTCTGATATAAAAAAGTCAAGCCCTATATTTTATTAAAGTCAACTTTGAGATGTTATACATTTAAATCTACGTTGATGTAAAGTTTCACATTAATGTGACATTATAAAAAGGTGGCATTGTATAACTGGTAAATGTACTGTATTGGCGACTCATGTGAAAAAAAGCTGAATGCTGTCAGTAGCTAAAATGTCTGAAAATAGTTTTTGTCTAGTCTGCAACTTCTGTCGCAGAAAGCGAGACATGCGGAAAGTGATCAGGCGGCGTTAACGAACTACTTAAAAGCTTAATATTTCAGAAAGTAGAAGACCTGGATGCTTCATACTTTGTATATAGATGCCTCGTGATATGAAGTTACGGTCTGTCATATGTTCATTGTCCTTGACCTTGTTTTCATGGTTCAGTGACTACTTGAAAAAAAAGTTAAGATTTTTCGTAATGTTAATTTCTCTCTTATTTAGAGTAATAGGATAACTATATGTATGTGCGTACCATGCAAGGTCCTCATGCCTGTCAGACAGTTTTCACTTGACTTCGACCTCATTTCATGGATCACTGAACAAGGTAAAGTTTTCATGTCCATACCTCAGATACTTTAAGCAATAGGTCTACTATATTTGGTGTATGGAAGAATTGTAAAGTGTACATGTCCAACTGGCAGGTGTTTTCTGACCTTGACCTCATTTTCATGGTTCAATGGTCAAAGTTAAGTTTTTGTGTCTGTCTGTTTTTCTTATACTGTATGCAATAGGTTGTCTATATTTGGTGTATTGAAATATTTTATGATGTACATGTCAGTCTGGCAGGTTTTATTTGACCTTGACCTCATTTTCACGGTTCATTGCTCAATGTTAAGTTTTTGTGTTTTGTTCTGTTTTTTTGTTAAACTATAAGCAATAGGTCATCTATATTTGGTGTATGGAATGATTGTAAGGTGTATATGTCTGTCTGGCAGGTATAAGTTTTCCTGGTTAAGTTTGTTTCTTATGGTTCATTGGTCAGTAAAGAGCTTTCATGGTTTGGTCCGTTTCTTGTGTACTATTAGCAATAGGTCAACAATATTCTGTGTATGAAATGATTGTGAAGTGTACATGTATTTCCAGCTTGGTTTATCTGACCTCATTTTCTTGTATCAGTTTTGTTTATGTTAATGTGATACTTGTATTAAAACTTTATATTTAGGACTATCAACATAAAACCAACGGTTAGTAAAGCAGGCGAGACATTTCGGTGTGTGTACTCTTGTTTAAAGTATATGTTCCCTTTAAAATGCATTACTAAAGAATGTTATGATTTGATAAATACATTGTTTTTTTTTAATTCCAGATAAGGATGAGTAACAGACTGCTGATACCAGAAGAACAGGTTGGTAGAAAAACTTAGGTGCCTGCAAACATGTTTAACCCCTCAACTTTCTGTATGTGCCTGTTCCAAGTCAGGAGCCGGTAATTCAGTGGTTGTCATTTGTTGCTGTATATTAGATTTGTTTTTCATTTATTCATGTTATTGTTTTGTTCATAAATCAGGCCGTTAGTTTTCTAGTTTGAATTGATTAACATTTGTAATTTTATGACCTTTTAAAGCTTGTTATGTGGAATTGGTTTTGCTCAATGTTGAAGGCTGTATGGTGACCTATAGTTGATTACTTCTTAGTCATTTGGTCTCTAGATGAGAGTTGTCTCATTGGCAATCATACCACATCTTCTTATTTTAATATTAACCCAAATTCACCATACTTGAAATTAAGGTAAATTTTCAGTACTTTTTTACCACACCTGCCACTCAAAATACCCTGAATGTAATTCCTATTTGTGATAGTAAAAAAAATATGTAACAACTGGATGATTCAGGTAGGCGATAATGGTAGCCTTTTCTTCCATACTTTTGTCCATATGGTATGGTTGGACAGGTATGACGGCTCATTTTGAAGTTTTCACAGTTGATGTTAAATATTTCGGGGTATGAAGTGCAATTAAATTTTCACGTATTGTGAAACCCCAAAGGCCCAATGTGAAGAGGCTTTGGCAAGCAAAACGTCCCTTTTTTTCTCTCGCAAAATTGAATTATCTGTAAATTCAGTTCTTTACAAACGTTTTATAACTCCAATGTTTTTACATCCTTATTGTACAGTCTTTTGTTCTTTAAACCAGGAAGTTATAAACCACCAAAGGAATGATTTTTTTCCCACAAAACAAAAAAAATAAATTAAAAAATAGTATTGCGACTGTATAAACATGTTTTCTATTTTTAGATACTGATGATGAATTGGATGCATGAACGAGTTTCACCATCATTACACAGACCAGCATGGAAACCTAAATTTGTAGCTTTAAAAGGACCAGATATTTATCTCTTTGACTATCCACCAGTAAGTTACATCAGAATCTTTAAAATAAAAAAAAAAAAACTAGTATGGGGTAGAAGAGTTAAAATTGAAAATCTGCAAGTAGGATAAACCCTGCAAGGTTCAGAAATATTTGTTAAGAATCATAAAAGAACTTCTATTTTTTTGTTAAATTAATCCTTTGACATGCTTGATTGTCTTTTTATTTTTGAAACTGCTGAAACTTAGAATTTGAAAAGAAAGGAGAATATTTTTTATGTTTAAAAGTACTGAAAAAACAACACACTGATCATTTAAAAAAATCAATTCAGGAGGACGTATTTATACAAGAGCACTGCTCTTGTTTCCTAGTACCAATTTTTGAATTACTTTTTAATTTCGTATTTATTTACTCTTGTAGCTATACAGAACAAATTCTTTAAATTCTTTAATAAAAACAGTTACACTTTTTAGATAGTTAAATTTTCGTAAACAGTATCTGTATGCAAAATATTCATTATATTCTGAAAAAAGACTGAAAAATAGATAGAAGTTAAGAGGCATTTCTTCTTGTTTGTTGGAGGGTTCCAATTATGACTTTCTAAAGACATAGATATCCTTTAGCATCTACAATTGTCTGTTTGATATAGATAAGTTTTAGAAAAGGGATATGTTGATGGTTTTAAAAGTAATTGCGGCAAATTTTTATCTGAAGGAGGTCTCCCAAACCACTAGAAGATGATACAAAAAAAAACTTGCCATAGTCAAGTTATAAACCTCTAGTAACGAAATATAGCTTACCAGAATATGTAGGTCCTCACAAAATGCAGTTTCTATAGCAAAAAATGAGTTGATTTAAAGACCTATACTATTAATTGCCGTAAAGATTTACGTTATAAATTTTCAGATGCAAACCAGAGACTGGGTTAGATGTGACACAGTGTTCAAAGTTTATGAATGTATGCTGCAGATTTGTAAGGTACAGTTGATCAGGGGAAAAGTTGTTTCTACTTTTCTGTCGCTATAGATTTAAAAAAATTCTAATAATTGGAAAGATTCTAATTCTGATGCTAATTGATTGTTTAAAATTCTGCTTAATATTGACAGTCTGCATGAGGTAACAAAATGTGTAAATATTTAAATATTTAAATGTTCAAATATCCTGCTTATTTATTCCATTCCAGAAGTAACTATACACAGATTCAGTAAAGATTCTACCTTAAAAATAACATTTTGTTGAATTTTAAAGAGTTAAAGTAAATACTGGTTTTATTACAACATATATAATATTTTGAGATTTTTGGAGTTAAATTTTTCATTCAACATACATGTAACAAGTTCTTCTTGCTGTGTATTGATTACAGTGTAAAATAGTTTTTATTAATACTAATATCTGATTAATGTTTGACCGCTCAAATTAACAACCACAATAATTTTTATACGACTGCAAAAAATTTTTGCGGTCGTATATTGGTATGACGTTGGCGTCGTCGTCGTCGTCGTCGTCGTCGTCTGGCGTTGTCCGGCGTCGTCCGAAGACACATTGGTTTTCGCACTCTAACTTTAGTTTAAGTGAATGAATCTCTATGAAATTTTACCCAAAGGTTCAATACCACAAAAGGAAGGTTGGGATTGATTTTGGGGGTTATGGTACCAACAGTTAAGGAATTAGGGGCCAAAAAGGGGCCAAAAATAAGCATTTTTGTAACTTCCAGACATAACTTGTGTGTTAGTGTATGAATCTCTCTGACATTGTACCACAAGGTTCCATATCACACAGGGAATGCTGGGATTGATTTTGGGGGTAATTGCCTAAAAATATTAGGAATTAGGGGCCAAAAAAGGGGCAAAAAACAAGCATTTTTCCAGTTTCATGACAATAACTTGTGTGTAAGTGTATGGATCTTTCTGAAATTGTACTACAAGGTTCCATATCACAAAGGGAAAGCTGGAATTGAGTTTGGGGGTAATAGCCCAAAACGTTTAGGAATAAGGGGCCAAAAAGGGTCCAAAAATAATCATTTTTCTAGTTTCCAGACAATAACTTATGTTCAAGTGTATGGATCTCTGTGAAATTGTACCACAAGTATCCATATCACACAGGGAATGCTGGGATTGATTTTGGGGGTAATTGCCTCAAAATATTAGGAATTAGGGGCCAAAAAAGGGGCAAAAAACAAGCATTTTTCCAGTTTCATGACAATAACTTGTGTGTAAGTGTATGGATCTTTCTGAAATTGTACTACAAGGTTCCATATCACAAAGGGAAAGCTGGAATTGAGTTTGGGTGTAATTGCCCAAAACGTTTAGGAATAAGGGGCTAAAAGGGGTCCAAAAATAAGCATTTTTCTAGTTTCCAGACAATAACTTGTGTTCAAGTGTATGGATCTCTCTGAAATTGTACTGCAAGGTACCATACCACAAAGGGAAGGCTGGGATTGATTTTGGGGGTAATTGCCTAATCTAACCGTGTATTTATATTCTTAATTTTTGGTCCTGTTTTCAAATTGGTCTACATTAAGGTCCAAAGGATCCAAAATTAAACTTAGTTTGATTTTAACAAAAATTGAATTCTTGGGGTTCTTTGATATGCTGAATCTAAACATGTACTTAGTTTTTTTATTATGGGCCCAGTATTCAAGTTGGTCCAAATCGGGGTCCAAAATTAAGCTTTGTTTGATTTCAACAAAAATTGAATATAAGGGGTTCTTTGATATGCTGAATCTAACCATATATTTAGATTTTTGATATTTGGGCCCGGTTATCAAATCGGTTCACATTGAGGTTTAAAGGGTCCAAAATTGAACTTTATTTGATTTCATCCAAAATTGAATTCTTGGGGTTCTTTGATATGCTGAATCTAACCATAGATTTAGATTTTGGATATTGGAATACCACAAAGGGATGGTAAGAATTGTCTTTGGGAGTTATGGCTCAAACCGTTAAGGAATAAGGTGCAAAAAAGGGGGGAAAAGGGTTTCCAGGTTAATGGACAATTACTTAAGTACAAAACATAATTTAAAAGGCAGTGTAAGGTTGGTAATTGAAACTCATTTCAATATCTCACCTAAACTGCTTTTAAATTATGTATATTGGAAATTTGCCAAAAACTTTATTATTAATAAATTCCATTGGAAATTTGCCAATAACTTTAGTTTAATGAACTTCTTTGGAAATTTACCAAAAACTTTATTTTTAATAAATTTCATTGGAAATTTGCCAATAACTTTAGTTAATAAACTTCATTGCATTTTTTCTAGTTTCCAGACAATAACTTGTGTGTAAGTGTATGGATCTCTCTAAAATTGTACTGGGGGGGGGGGGGGGGGGGGGATTTTTTTCCCCAATTTTTTGGGGTTCATATTTTTTTTCTTCAAAGTTTTTGTAATCTTCAGTTGCACAGTATTGCGCAATAACAAGAAATCTCCAATTGCACAGTATTGCGCAATTTCACAGTATTGGGCAATAGCAAAAAATCTTCAATTGCATAGTATTGCGCAAAAGCAAGAAATCTTTAATTGCACAGTATTGCGCAACAACACAGTATTGCGCAATAGCACAGTATTGCACAATAGCACAGTATTGCGCAATAGCAAGAAATCTTCAATTACACAGTATTGCGCAATAGCAAGAAATCTACAATTGCACAGTATTGTGCAATAGCAAGAAATCTTCAATTGAAAATAAATACAAATCTTTTAACCAATTTCAATGGGATTCATTTAAAGTCTTTAATTTTTGGGGGCTCTTACCTTGTATTACTTTTTTGGATATTGGGCCCCATTTTTAAATTGGTCTACATTGAGGTCAAAAGGGTCCAAAATTAAACTTTGTTTGATTTCATCAAAAACTGAATGATTGCAGCTGTATGATATGCTGAATCTTATTGTGTATTTAGATTTTTTATTTTGGGCCCTGTTTTCAAATTAGTCCATATTAAGGTTTGAAGGGTCCAAAATTAAACTTTTGATTGATTTCAACTAAAATAAAAATTTTTGGTGTTTTTTTATATGCTGAATCTAACCATGTTGTTAGATTTTGGATATCAGACCATTCTAGGTAAAATGAATGTCCCATTTCAAATTTTTAAGCTCTTTGACCACATTTATTTTGTGTCAGAAACCTATATTATGTCAAAAATTTGATCACAATCCAAATTCAGACAGTATCAAGCTTGAATATTGTGTCCAAACTTGCCCCAACTGGTCAAGGTTCGACCTCTGCGGTCGTATCAGGCTGCGCTCTGTGAAGCATTTTATTGTAATTTGCAGGTGAAGAAGAAAAATGCCTTTGATTGTCCACAGCTTGCAAATACAGTTCCAATAAGAAATTTATTTCCAAATTAAAAAGAACAATCATTTAAAAAAAATGAAAGGGTTCTTACGTTTTATCAAAATTGTTTTTTCTACCTGTCCAAGGTTATGAATTTCGAAAAGCTAACAGAAAAAATGCAAAGCAAAAAGCCAAAAAGCACATATAAGTACAAGACTGGAAATCCCTATCTTATGCTTTTTCCTCAAAATATTTTTAAGGATAAGGAATTATTAGATGATAGACAGCACTGTTGTAATATACTGGCTGGAACCGGAGAAAAACTTTACCTCAGTACAGAAAGTCGTGCAGAATTATTACACCTTGAGAAGGCTTGGTACAGAACTAATCATAGTAGTATAACTAGATTAAAGGTATGTATTTTGCTTTACTAATGAACTATGATAAACGCAGGGACCTAGGAGGCCTAGCTTAGTAGTTCATCTATAGGGATTACTAGCCTGTCATCTCTCAGGTTGTAAGTTCAAGCAAGTGTCATGGCAAGGTGTGTTTGACTCTAATTTTAATTGACAACGGTTTCCGGTTTTCCTGATGAAGTTTGGTTGTTTTCTCTGTGTACTCAGGCTTCCTTCACCATTAAAAACACTAGGCTCCATGATATGGTTAGGGCAGCTGAAACTTGCTTTAACACTAAGAAACAAACCATTTACACAGAGTTATGCTCTTGATGCCTTTTGTTGAGGAGCTCTTGCACACAGTTTTTAAAAGGTGTGATTTTTCCTTTTTATCTAGTATTATTAACACAACTGTATATTAAAGATGGTTGTAGACTTAAGTCACGTCACTTCAACAATTTATATGTGCTGTATATATACCCATTTTGTGGGGTTTTTATGCTTGAATTTTCTTGGTGTATGAAAATCGATAATTTTATATTTTGTGTGGATCTTGATTGGGTTATTGTATAAGCCATTTTTCAGGTCTTTCTGTTTTTATTAGTACCTTGAGAACTTGACATTCTCATCTTTTACAAAATTATTTTTTTTAAGTGTTGTTCACTTTTGTTTTATTAGATGTTCAGTTTGAAGCTCGATAATGTTCAGTTTTAACATGGAAGTGTAATTGTTATACCTGCATTCTAGGCTTGGAGCTTTATTGCATTCACCTTGATTGGCCTTTTTTCTGTTCTTCCAACAAATGTTTCTGTCACACTTTCCTCAGCCACAACAGAACAGAATGACTTCATTTTTGGTCAGCAGCTGGACATTGATGAATTGTGATGTGTGGGCACTTTTTGAATCTATATTTCATCTATTTCCTGTTTGCTGATATTTAGAATTTTTCATTATGATGAATGAACTTAAAATGTTTAGACACGCATTTGTTAATTCCTAAATAGCAACTTCATATTGAGTCTGCAGGTTGGCATTGAGTTGTTATTTCAGATTTGTCAAACTTCTGTCCGTCCTGATTAGGATACATTGTTTGTCCGGCTATCTTCTCCTACAGTTTTGGAGGTACAGCTTTAATATTTTGTAGGATGTTCATACACATAATGAAGGTGTGCATGGCAACAGGATTTTGATTTCTTTTAAATATTCTGAAAATGACAGGTAGTTGGACTTCTTCATTTTTTTTGGTACAAGCTGCATAAAGAGATCATGGTTTGTCTGGCTATCTCCTCCTACAGTTTTGGAGCTACAGCTTTAATATTTTGTAGGATGTTCAAACACATAATGGAGGTGTGCATGGCTACAGGATTTTGATTTTTTTTTCAAATAATCTGAAAATGACAGGTAGTAAGACTTAGTCTTTTTTAGCTCACCTGGCCCGAAGGGCCAAGTGAGCTTTTCTCATCACTTGGCGTCCGGCGTCGTCCGGCGTCGTCCGTCGTCGGCGTAAACTTTTTACATTTTGAACTTCTTCTAGAGAACCACTGAATGGAATGAAACCAAACATGGCATGAATGTTCCTTATGAGGTGCTGACCAAGTGTTGTTACTTTGTAGCCGATCCATCATCCAAGATGGCCGCCAGCGGGGGACTTAGTTTAACATAGGACCCTATGGGAAATGCATACAAATGACTTCTTTTAGAGAACCACTGAATGGAATGAAACCAAACATGGCATGAATGTTTCTTATGAGGTGCTGACCGAGTGTTGTTACTTTGAAGCCGATCCATAATCCAAGATGGCAGCCAGCGGGGGACTTAGTTTAACATAGGACCCTATGGGAAATGCATACAAATGTCTTCTTTTAGAGAACCACTGAATGGAATGAAACAAAACATAGCATGAATGTTCATTAGGAGGTGCTGACCAAGTGTTGTTACTTTGTAGTTGATCCATCATCCAAGATGGCTGCCAGCAGGGGACTTAGTTTAACATAGGACCCTATGGGAAATGCATACAAATGACTTCTTTTAGAGAACCACTGAATGGAATGAAACAAAACATAGCATGAATGTTCCTTACAAGGTGCTGACCAAGTGTTGTTACTTTGTAGCCATTCCATCATCCAAAATGGCCGCCAGCGAGGGACATAGTTTAACATAGGACCCTATGGGAAAGGCATACAAATGACTTCTTTTAGAGAACCACTGAATGGAATGAAACAAAACATAGCATGAATGTTCATTAGGAGGTGCTGACCAAGTGTTGTTACTTTGTAGCCGATCCATCACCAAGATGGCCGCCAGCGGGGGACTTAGTTTAACATAGGACCCTATGGGAAATGCATACAAATGACTTCTTTTAGAGAACCACTGAATGGAATGAAACAAAACATAGCATGAATGTTACTTACAAGGTGCTGACCAAGTGTTGTTACTTTGTAGCCGTTCCATCATCCAAAATGGCCGCCAGTGAGGGACTTAGTTTAACATAGGACCCTATGAGAAATACATACAAATGTCTTCTTTTAGAGAACCACTGAATGGAATGAAACCAAACATGGCAAGAATGTTCCTTATGAGGTGCTGACCAAGTGTTGTTACTTTGAAGCCGATCCATCATCCAAGATGGCAACCAGCATGGGACTTAGTTTAACATAGGATCCTATGGGAAATACATACAAATGTTTTCTTTTAGAGAACCACTGAATGCAATGAAACCAAACATGGCATGAATGTTCCTTATGAGGTGCTGACCGAGTGTTGTTACTTTGAAGCCGATCCATAATCCAAGATGGCCGCCAGCGGGGGACTTAGTTTAACATGGGACCCTATGGGAAATACATACAAACGTCTTCTTTTAGAGAACCACTGAATGGAATGAAACCAAACATGGCAAGAATGTTCCTTATGAGGTGCTGACCAAGTGTTGTTACTTTGAAGCCGATCCATCATCCAAGATGGCAGCCAGATGGGGACTTAGTTTAACATAGGATCCTATGGGAAATACATACAAATGTTTTCTTTTAGAGAACCACTGAATGGAATGAAACCAAACATGGCATGAATGTTCCTTATGAGGTGCTGACCAAGTGTTGTTACTATGAAGCCGATCCATAATCTAAGATGGCCGCCAGCGGAGGACTTAGTTTAACATAGGACCCTATGAGAAATACGTACAAATGTTTTCTTTTAGAGAACCATTGAATGGAATGAAACCAAACATGGCATGCATGTTCCTTTCGAGGTGCTGACCAAGTGTTGTTACTTTGAAGCTGATCCTTCATCTATGATGGCTGCCAGATGGGGACAATGTTTAACAAAGGACCCTATGGACAATACATACAAATGTCTTCTTTTAGAGAACCACATACTGAATGGATTGAACCAAACATGGCATGAATGTTCCTTATGAGGTGCTGACTAATTTTTGTTACTTTGAAGCTGATCCTTCATCCATGATGGCCGCCAATGGGGGGACTTCCTTTAACATAAGACCCTATGGGAAATACATACAAATGCTTCTTCTAGAGGTGCACTGAATGGAATGAAACCAAAACATGGCATAAATGTTTCTTATGAGGTGCTGATTAAGTGTTGCTACTTTGTTGCTGATTTACTGTTCAAGATGGCCACCAGGATTTTTTATTAAATTACAGGACCAATATTAAACCAAATTTGGCCTCACTCATTATTAGGGTATCTGTTATGATTTTAATCTATTTTTACATGATTTCCAAAACCAAAGTAGAATCAGGTGAGCGACACAGGCTCTTGAGAGCCTCTAGTTTTGGTAAGGCGGGGCATCATTTGTGTCTTACAGACAGCGTAACAATTTCAAGTTGTATGCCAACATCACTGTTTGTCAAATCTAGAATATGTGGAAATATACTCATGCATATGGCAGAGCAAAAAAGGGGGGGGGGGGGGGGGGGGGGGAGGGGGGGGCATTGTCCATGTCTAGTTTTTTTGGTCCATTTTTCTCTATTCTTTATTTTTTTTTTGTTTATTTTTCTCTATTCTTTATTTTCTTTGTTTATTTTTCTCTATTCTTTGTTTTTTTTTATCCATTTTTCTCTATTCTTTGTATTTTTTGCCCATTTTTCTCTGTTCTGTAAACCCCCATCCACACCCTCACCTATGGATTCATGTTAAGATTTCATTTCACTGAAGCTAAAGTAAGCTTGGAAGGTTTTGGCCATTCTTTTAATTATTTTCTTTAAGCATTTATTCATCTTTAAATTCATCCTTTTGATTTCTCAGCTTTTTACTATTCTGGTTCCACAAGTTTAATCTTATTTTTAAACCCTGTTTGAAAGAGCTTTAAGTTAACTAACTGAACTTGACCTTTTGATCTTAATTTTTTGGCTTGTATTAAGTTCATCTGAACTATAGTTGATAATTAAGAAGTTCTATATTAAAAATATTTCAAAATTTTCCTTTTTTCCAGCACAAGACATTTGGTTGTACATGGAGAGGAAATTTATGTGGACTGACATTAGATCTGGACTCAGGATTTTCTCTGTATGATAACAGTACTAAAGTATGTAGATTAAAATAGCTGACAAATAGAAATAAGGGCTACCATCAATAACATTTAAGTTGGTTACAAAGATACTATTAATCTACTGAAAATGATATTATTTGATACATGCAGTAAAACCTTAAAAATCTTAAAGGCTTTCAACATACAATTCAATCATGATTAGTATAGCAGGTAAGACATTTCTACCTGCACCCTCTTGTAGATGGTAGCATATAAGAATTAATCAAACATCAAGACGCTTAATAGTTCTTTATAAACTAGAGTATCTAAGTTAACAATGTTATTTATTTTTTCTTTTAAAGTGAGTCCTCAGAAACTGATTGACAAACAAGCTTGTAACTTGTGCAAATTCTTCTTTGATCATGTATCAGATAAGGAAGTCACATGATCATTCAGTGTTTTCAACTGTTCAACATCAGGGTCAAATTTAACTATGTTAAACCTCCATGTTTAAAAGTTTCTTTCAACATTCAATCAGATAAACTGAATGCAGCTTTTACCACATTTTTACCATAAATTGACCTATAAATCATTTAACTTTGTTACTAGGATACTTGAGCAGTGTTCCTTCAGTATGGTCACTGATTGTCATTTTATGCTTCATTAACTCAAAGTTTGATATCAAAGGTCAGTTCGAAGTGACCTTACTTAGTATTTACATGTAAAGCCTTATCATAGCAGCTTGTAGAAATACAGAAATGTAATTTTTGTCAATGAGAATTTCATTTTCCAGTCTTCATACCTGTCAACCTCTAAAACTGAAAATGACCTGCATTGAAGAAGAAAATGTCAGGTCATAACGCGTACAAACTTTATCGGTCCAATTTTAGTATTGAGAGTTTTTTTTACACACTATAACATATACATGTACCACTAAGTTTCCTAAAAATAATCACTTTTGTATTTGTTTAGTATATAAATATTTATCATTAATTAAATATCTTTCTAAAGCAATGCCCTCTTATTGTTTTATTCACACTAGTTTACTTCTTTTTATTAATGAATGTCATAAACCCAAGCTTTACATGTAATTTAGAAATCTATTATAGCTAATTATAATGTGCTCCTATACACAGGAGGAAGACAAATAGAAAGAATCCCGGGTTATTTGAATACTCGGCAGGTATTTAAAAAATCCTGGCGAAGGGGGAAATTCTCGGGTGTGACCCGCAGGGTCAGTTGACAGCTATGAGTCTTGATATGAATAAAAGAAGATGTAAGGTGTAGTCAAGTTCATTAAAATATATTCTTCATTTTATTCATTTTTATTATAATGAATATAGATATGTCCTAATGTTATACTATTGTTTCAGAAAAGGGAGAAGGTTTGGTACCATTAAATTGTTTAATCCCGCTGCAAATGATTGCACCTGTCCTAAGTCAGGAATCTGATTACAGTAGTTGTCGTCTGTTTATGTAGTTCATACATGTTTCTCGTTTCCCGTTTTTATATAGATTAGACCGTTGGTTTTTCCGTTTGAATGGTTTTACACTAATATTTTTTTTGGGGCCCTTTATAGCTTGCTGTTCGGTGTGAGCCAATGCTCCGTGTTGAAGGCCGTACCTTGACCTATAATGGTTTACTTTTATAAATTGTAACTTGGATGGAGAGTTGTCTCATTGGCACTCATACCACATCTTCCTATATCTATGTCATATCTTTATGGTATTTTGTTATAAGGGCAAAGTCAAAATAAATGGTCCAAATTAAATTTTTTTTACCAAATTTCAACATTGTTTTGGTGCATTTTCTTTTGTTGTATCTTGATACATATACATTTAAGTTAATAAATCCAAAAGGATATAAAAAAGTATAAAGAAATAAAAAAGTTCTGAAACTTAAATGACATAAACCAATAAAACAAATTTAAATCAAGTATACCTTTTTGGAATATTATTTCAGACAAACACTATCAAATATTTATATTTTTTTCACCCCTATTGATTGCAGAGATCCAAACATAACTTTTGATGCATAGATTATTAATCTCCTCTTTGATTATCATTTTTTTTTTATGTTTTTGGCTATTTTTTGTATCAATTCATTTAAAGTTGATTGAAAAAGTTTTGATTATTAATAATTCATCAATTATTAGATAAAAAAGCTTCTCCATATTAAAATTAAACCTTTTTCAAATTCACTGAGAAAAAAAAATTGATAGATAAATCTTTTAATAAAGAAGAAATATCAAAAAGAAAATACATCCAATTTCCCCTGTTTTTGTTGCACTCCTGACATATTATACACCAAATAAAAAAGGCAGAAACTAGAACAAAATACTCATGATTTTTTAAAATTTGTAATCATTGCTGGTTTATAAAGACCTAAATCTGAAATGTTATTTCTATTTTAACTTATGCATCTTATGCACTTCAGATCATATTTAAATTGATTTTTCTGACATATTATTATAAAAATGAGGTTAAGTTACCAAACTATGAACTAAATTCTATTAAATATTCAGTAGAATTGTTGTTTGACAACTTAAAAAGAGATCTGCATTCTTCAAAGTTTTTCTGAACTATTATTATTTTTTTAAATTATTACCTATATAAGGAACTTTATTCCTCCTATTTTGTTGCACTCCTGACATTCAATATATATCATATCAAAACAGTTATACATCCTCAAAAAAGCCCATGATTTCTAGATTTAAGTGTATATACCTTTCAGATTTAACATTTTAATTTCATTTAAACAATATTTTTGAACTATATCATACATATCACTTATTGTATACATAAGTTCATGTCTCATCACATTTCGCTTCTATTTTTTTTAAATGGCAGTCTTTGCAATGTTAAAATGGGCTGAATTTTGTGGCTTGATGTGTAGAATAATCCTGCAAAATATCTTTGGAAAATCTCAAGTATTAAAAAAATTACGATAAAACAAGATGCAAAAAATGTCAGGAGTGCAACACTTTTTTGTGACATTTTGAAAAAATACTTTTTCTATAAAGACACAGCAACTTGTAATATGATGATATGTGCCATAGATTCTTATTTATATTACAACTATTATGTCTTAGTGATGATTTTAGCTACAAATGAAGTTTGTCCATTAAACCGTTTTGATACAGATGTGTTTTGAAAAAAAGTATTGCCCTGTCAGGAGTGCAACACAATAATTAGTACAGTTGTGTAAATAGAATGATTTTTGAATATATGAATCACACCTAAACATAAACAAAAGTCAACCCTGTAAAAAAGATGTGTCCTTTCCAGAATAAATACTTTATTAACATGATTATTGATATAAATGTGTGATAGTCAAGTATATAAGGCCTCCCTATAAGTGTCAGGAGTGCAACTTTGAAGTTAAAAAACTCACACTTAATAAATACAAAAGCCAATATATTGTTCTGTTTTATTTTTCAAAAGATACTATACTAGATACAAGATTGCACCCAAAGAGTAGCCTGATAGACAAGGATTGGTTTTTTAGAACCAATTCTTTGATGTCAGGAGTACAACAGTTTTAAAATGTTATTTTCTTGGACTTACATTTTAAGATAATCTCAGCTTCTTATGACTTATTTGCCATCAAATATGTGTTCTTACTATTTAGGCTACATGTATGATATATTCCTAGAGGTGAGTTTCAAAACAGGACTTCGATCCAAAAATTATTGTTTGTCACAAGCAATTATATCTGAATGATGATTTTATATATAATTTTAGAATTTAGGAAGCTAATTGTCATAAACTGTGTCGTTTGATTAGGAAATAACCATATTTCAATTTAAAAGTTTTATAATGGTTTCATGTAATACTAATTAAATTATTATAACTGTAATAACAAACAATTAATTTTGTTGAACTCCTGACATGAATTTACCATAACAAGCAGTTTTGCACAGATTCAATATTTTTATTTTATTAAAGTCTCACACATTTGGAGTTCATCTTGCAGATCCAACCTTTGAATGAATGAAAGATGGGAAAGATAGTTGATCAAACTGATATAACTTGAGAAGAAAATCAGACAGACTAAGGGATCAAAACACACCATCAAAGTCAACATCGACTATAACTTTGATGAGCAGAAAATTGAGAAAAACTCTGAAAGAAGATCTACCTAAAGGACACACTAGACAAATATAAGCAAAGAAAGAACAAAGAAAACAAAACAATGTAAAACTTAATTATAAAGACTTAACCTGAATACAAAAACACAGATGGAGAAAATGAAAAAAACAAAACAAAGAGATTGGCAACAGAGAAGAAGAAAATTGACACAAGCCAAAAAAGTTGCAAACCCACAGAAAAATGTCCAGTCGAGAAGCAAAAGTACAGGTGCAGATACACTATCTAGAGAAATCAGAAAGAGAAGACAAAGTATAGGGAAAATTCTTCCTGACCAACCCAAACCTTGCCCTAAAACAATTGAATACATCATATCCACAGCTAAACCAAGGCAGTTATAAGAACTAATCAGTACTGATGAAAGTGTGCTAGAAATTAATGGGTGCCGAAGTGGAAACAAAATTGAGAGACCCTTAATAGATCTGGAAACTGTTGAAAAGAAACTGGCATTTTCAAAAAGAATAGAGGCTACCTGAAAATGTTTGAACTTAGGGACTCTTTGAAAATGCCATTTTCTTTTCAACAGTTTTCAGATCTTTTAGGGGTTCCTCAACTTTGTTTATACTTCAACATGTTCAAGGCTCATCAATTTCTTGCACACAGCTGATATCAGTTCTCATATCCTCTGACAACCACCTTGGTGTAGCTGTGGATATGATGTGCTCAATTGTTTAAGCCCAAGATTTGGGATGATCAGGAAGATAATGTCTTATTCTTTGACTTCTCTTTCTGATTTCTCTAGGTATTGTATATGCATCTGTACTTTTCTGCTGGTTTGCAACTTTTTTTAGCTTGTGTCAATTTTCTTCTTCCCTTCTGTTGCCACTTTCTCTGTTTTGTTTTCATTTTCTCATATGTGTTTTAATTCTGGTCTAAGTCTTTTGAATTTAGTTTTACATTGTTTTGTTTTCTTTGTTCTTTCTTTGTTTATATTTGTCTAGTATGTCCTTCAGATTTGGATCTTATTTCAGTGTTTTTCTCAATTTTCTACTCCTCAAAGTTGAAGTTGTTGTTGACTTTGATAGTGTGTTTGTATGCACTTAGCCTGTCTGATTTTATTCTAAATTATAGTTTCACAACCATCTTTCCCATCTTTCATTCATTCAAAGGTTGGGTCTTAAATATGAACTCAAAATGTGCAAAACGGCTTGTTATGGATAATTCATGTCAGGAGTGCAACAAAATTAATTGTTTGTTATAACAATTATAATAATTTAATTAGTATTACATGAAACCATTATAAAACTTTTAAATTGAAATATGGTTATTTCCTTATCAAAAGACAAAGTTTAAGACAATTAGCTTCCATAATTTGAAAATAATATGAAAATTTAACATTCAAATATTTTTGCTTGTGACAAACAATAATTCTTGGATCAAAGTCCTGCTTTGAAATTTACCTTTAAGAATTTATTATAACTCATACATGTAACCTAAATAGTTAGAAAACATGTTTAGATGCAAATAAGTCACTAGGAGCTGAGATTATCTTAAAACGTAAGTCCAAGAAAATGCCATTTTAAAACTGTTGCACTCCTGACATAAAAAAAATGGTTCTAAAAGAAAAATTCCTTGTCTATCAGGCTACTCTTTGGGTGCAATCTTGTATCTAGTATAGTATCTTTTGAAAAATAAAACAGAACCATATAATGGCTTTTGTATTTTTTCAGTGCGAGTCTTTAAACTTCAAAGTTGCACTCCTGACACTTATTGGGAGGCCTTATATACTTGACTCTCACACATTATTTATATCAATAATCAGGTAAATGAACTATTTATTCTGGAAAGGACATATTTGTTTTACAGGATTGACTTTTGTTTATGTTTAGGTTTGAGTCATTTAAGCAAAAATCATTCTATTCCTCAGTAATACTAATTTTTGTGTTGCACTCCTGACATGGCACAACTTTTTTTCAAAACGCATCTGTATCAAAACGGTTCAATGGAAAACCTTCATTCTGAGCTGAAACCATCACTAAGATATAATAGTTGTAATATAAATAAGAATTTAAGGCACATTCCTACTTACAACAATTTGCTGTGTCTTAATAAAAAAGTATTTTTTCAAAATGTCACAAAAAAGTGTTGCACTCCTGACAATTTTGGCATCTTTTTTTAACGTCATTTTTTTAATACTTTAAATTTTCCAAAGATGTTTTGCAGGAATATTCTTCACATCAAGCCACATCATTTGAAATTAATTTATTCAATCAAATGATCAGCATGTTTGATAAATATTGCTTTATATGCAAGGAACCATTTATTTTGACTTTGCCCATAAGGAGAATTGGATGTGAAAGACTGATCTTTGATTGTTTCTTATTAGTTTATTTACAACTTTTATAGAATCTGGATGATTTCAACCTTGCCATTTTGCATAACAATAACACTATTAAAATCTACTTTTATTGTCCAGTAATGTGTCACACAAAAACTGTTTCATTAAACCTATCCAGCTGAGACCGAATAAATAGATGAAAGTAACTATAGGTCACTGTACAAATCTACCATATAGGATGCTATAAAAGGTCTCTACAGACAAAATGTAAAACAATTTAAACAAGAAAAACAGTGTCAGGATTTAAGTAAAAAACAAGAAAGGAAAAATGGATAAATTCACTTATATGAAAAACCATTTACGGATGGAAATGAACTACTCCGGTAAACATGAAATCATTAATATTGTAATGTAATATATTAATTTACTTTTATTAGATATTCTCCCTGGATATCTAATAACTAATATATCTGGGATGCTTAGTGCAATGCTGTAAACTAAGTAAATTGTTGACAGAAATAGAGTGCAATAAAAATATGTTAGTCATAATAAAATAAAAAGAAAAAAATAAAGGAATACAAATTTTGATATACAGCTATATTTGTCTTATGTTTAACAGAACTTTCAATGGACATACAGATTTTCCCAGCTGCGGGGATCATCAGATGATGGGAAGACACGACTTAAACTCCACTTTAACTGTGATCCACCTGGTTCTATTGAAATAAGGGTAAGAGTATGAGTTGTCTCCCTTATTGCTATAGAAATGACTATATATATCTATTTGTCTCTTTTTTGCTATAGAAATGGGTAAAAGTATGACTATACAAACTAAAAATGAGGAGATGTGGTATAGTATTTTCAAGGGGTTACTTATAGGTTAATGTACAGCCTTCAACAATGAAAAGTGTAGTTGTCTCCCTTGGTACTACCCATTTTGCATGCTATTTTGGATGTTTGATGTCACATGGACATAATGACTTATAATTAAACAACCATTTTCTCTTGCTTATTATTAAATGAAATTGAATGAACCACTGTACACATTCAGAACTTTTATATCCCATAAAAAAGAAGTGTTTATAAAGTTCATTAATGAACATATGCAAATGATTTTTTTTCGAAATTTTTGAATGAAATGTTGACATTTACACCCCAAATAGGCCATGAATAGAGATTTTTGTGAAATATGACATAATCTTCTATAGTTACACCAAATTTAGGGTAAGAAAACATAGAGCACATGGTTCTACAACCCTAATATTTTAGGTAGATATGTTATTTGTTATAACAAGCATAATGTTGCTCACGTGACAATACCCAAATAGCACTTATTTTGGCAGTTTTTTCACCTATGTTTATTTATGATCCAGACAAAAGTTTCCATTCTGTGTTTATTTTGTAGATGTATCCTTTTTCTCTACATAGTTACATTATTTAATTTTGAATCCATATTGAATCATAGAAAAATGAGTTTGAACCGACCTCCAAACGATCCATGATTCTATAATGAGGAGTACCCGAATTGCATTCATGCTTAAATTCACATCCTTAAAAATAGAATAACAGATATTTTGTTATATTCTTTCAAATATTTAGAACAATTTGACATTAGTCTATGCTTAGTATTCATTTTTTAAGAATTGGATGCATGTAACATATTTTATTTGCTCATTTTTGTCTCGCCTTGACGGAGTCAAAAAGCGAGACATAGGTATGCTGTTTCCGTCATCCGTGGCGGCGGCGGTGGCGATGGCAGCGTCACAATGTATTAGTTTGTGAATAGGTCTAGTTCATGGTGAACCACTAGTGGTAGATCAATGATATTTGGTATGCAGTTGTATTAGCATTGGCACATCTCATTACCATGAAGATTATTTTGCCCCGCCCCCTTAGTCAAGGTCTATTGACTTTGAAACTTTGCTTAGTTTACATGTATTTCTTTGTGATTAGGTCAGTTTATGGGGAACCACTAGCGGTAAGTCAATGATATTTGGTATGCAGTTGTATAAGCATTGGCATATCTCATTTCCATGGAGATTATTTGGCCCTGCCCCCTCATTCATGGTCTATTGACTTTGAAACTTTTGCTTAGTTTTCATGCATTAGTTTGTGATTAGGTCAGTTTAAGGGGAACCGTTAGTGGTAGGTCAATGATAATTGGTATGCAGTTGTATAAGCATTAGCACATCTCATTTCAATGGAGAATATTTGGTCCCTACCCCTCAGTCATGGTCTATTGACTTTGAAACTTTTGCTTAGTTTACATGTATTAGTTTGTGATTAGGTCAGTTTAAGCTGAACCACTAATGTTAAGTCAATGATATTGGGTATGCAAATGTATTGGCATTTGCAAGTTTCATTTCCATGGAGATTATATAACCCCACCCCCTAATTATGGTTCATTGACTTTGAAACTTTTACATAGTTTACTAGTTAATGTTTGTGTTAAGGTTTGTTTAAAGGGAATGACTTATGACAAGTCAATGGTATTTGGTTTGCAGTTGTATTAGCATTGGCACATCTCATTTCCATGGAGATTGTTTAGCCCTGTACCTTCAGTCATGGTTCATTGACTTTGAATATTTGCATAACTTACATGTTAAAGTATTGCTATTTTAATTTCAACATTTGCATTATCAAAATAACAAATAGGCGAGACATATCTCTGTGTTAACAGTTTATTAAAAGATGACTTTTTGTGGACGTCGCATGGCAACGTTTCCGTAGATTTTACTTTTTCCAGTGAATACTTCATCTGTTGATATATACTGTGAACGTTTTGTGTATATTTGAATATATTTACCTATGTTGCAAGACGTGTTTAATGTCAAATCATAGAAATACAAATTGTTTAGTCTCAAAGAAAACTTGTAAGATTTCTGCTGCTATTTTTGCTGAATAGATGCAATTTGGGTACTCGGTGCAATTTGGGTACTGTGACGTTAGATTTATATTTGTGTCCACACATGTGTTATATGTTTCTAATACTTAAAACCAATGGAAATTGACCTTTTTTTTGTGTTTGGTGGAAAAATGAATATGATGCTTATTATGGAGTCATCGATCGAAAGAAAGCAGATATAAAAATAAAAAAAAACATATTTCTATCTTATCATTGTTTTAACTATGATTCATTGTGATAATAGCCATTAATTCCTAATTTGAAATTTAGAGAGAAATAGGGACCATATACACCTTATCTTTATCTATTCTAATCTGGATAAGTTCTGAAATTACACACTTTTCCAGTACGTCACAAACCAGTTGAAGCTATCTGGGCCCTGTTTAAACAATGTATTGTGCATACAAATTTTCAAAGAGACATGTCTAAACCATAGTAAACACTTCAGACTAAGGATTTTTAATACTTTAATTTGTGTTTCAAAAAATTGGATCATAATCTATAAAATATTTTTAAAATGTTCACTTTCAAAACTTTTTCCACCCTCAGCTCATTACTGATGAACTGTGTTTTTGCGATGGATTGAAATAAATAGCAAAATGGTGTATTGGGGCCTTATCAAACTATTCCTTTATCCAGTCAAAATCAAAATAATGCAAATGATATCACTTTTTATATTGTAGGAAATAGAATGTACTGGACTCCACACACTGCTATACTCAATGAATGCTTTCTTGTCAGCCAAACTGGCTTCTGTGGATCCAACGTTCTTATCAAGTTATTAATTCACACACGGCTATACTCAATGAATGCTTTCTTGTCAGCCAAACAGGCTGCTGTGGATCCAACGTTCTTATCAAGTTATTAATTCACACACGGCTATACTCAATGAATGCTTTCTTGTCAGCCAAACAGGCTGCTGTGGATCCAACGTTCTTATCAAGTTATTAATCTACTGCTATTAATATTATCAAATTGTGATGTAAGGGGATCCAGGAGAAACAAAACTTCCCATAATTCATAGCTTCCTGTTGATGAGTGCTGTTACATCTTCCAATATATCTCATAGATTGTTATGTGTGCAGGATAGTTACATGTCATAATTCATAGCGTGTTGCATTTGTATTCACATATGCAGATGTATATCATTATCTTACCTCCTATACATTTCAAGGAATATGATTGGTTTAAAGCAACCGCGTGAAGACTGTGTATATTTCATATGGGGTTAGTAGGCGTGGTTTATTTCAATACACGTTTAGTAGTGATGTTACGTCCCTTTGTAAAAACAACACAGTGTTGAGGAAAAATCTGAAAGGTTTCAACAGAGGAAGAATTTGATGATAAACGATTGAAATAAATGCAGAAAATACATTAAAAGCTAACAAGTTGTTATTGTTGGCATTTGCTTTTGTATAGACCAATAGAAGTAGGTTCTTAATATTGAAGACTTGATCACTTTGATAGGCCACTAGTCTAAATGCCACATGCCAAGATAGTCGGTAAGATAAATTCGTTACACAGTGTGCTAGTGACCTAATACGATATATATGGGGTCAGTAAATTTCATATGGGGTTTGAGCTTCGCTTTCACCCCATATGGAATTTACTGACCCCATATATATACGTATTAGGTCACTAGCACACTATGTAACTAATAATATTAGAATTAAAGGAGGTGCAGGGAAACATTGATTGATTGTTGGTGTTTACCACCACTTTCATCACTCCTGGCTCTATCATGTTTTAATAGGTGAAGGAAGTTGGAGTACTCAGAGAGAACCACAACATTCAGCAGGAAACGTAGCAATCTTAGTCAATTAAGATCTGAGTCAAACATACAGCTGTGAGCATGGTTTGAAACTAACAATCTCAGAGTTGACAGGATAGTTTTCACTGTAGATGAACTACTTAGACTGGTAGACCACCATAGCCAAGCATCGATGAGAAAAAAACAAATAAAACAAGTATAAAAGGATTAGACATATGGTGAAGGACTAGTGCCTCATGTGGCAAGGTTAAAATTATTGAGCCATATAAATATTAAAATTGCTAAAAGAATTAGTTGGTTTCCAGTATAGCAGGGATGATTAAACTGGTTTTGTGAATACCAAATCTTACATACCCATTTGTTTTTAGATAATGGAAGAAACAGTTATTCTAAGCCAACTTATTTTAATGCATAATTGTTTTCTGTTAAGTCCTTTCTTGCCAACTTTGTGATGAGTTATATTTGTGATTTTCTAATTTTGTTGATGTATTCATATGGAAAAAGTTTCTGGTTGAGGATTTTCAATATTATTTATTTTCTGTGTTATTTTTCTACTGAATCACATATGTCTTTCAGTGTATTTAAAGAGTTTAAAAAAATTGCGATATAATTACTAATATATATTCTTGACAATTGGTTTGTGCAGAAATAATAAATGTTTTGAATAATATTTGTACTCTGAAATATAGAGTTAAATTTTAACATTTTGCTTTTTATATTTCATGAAAAATATTTATGGTATTTTGATATTTTAATTTTTTATCTGTTTTTGGGGGTGTTTCCCATCTTCAAACATGACAAATGGTGGTAGCCATTTTGTATTTGTAACTTTAGCTAAACCAATGACTAGATTAACAGAGTGAATGTTATAAAATTGTTAGCTCTGCTTGTTGCTTTTTTAGTTAAGTTTTGTTTGAATTGATATTTGTAATACCGTTTAGGGAGTTATTTTTCGCGGGTGTAAAATTTCGCGATTTACATTTAATTAGGTATACAAAATAATTTGGCAGTTATTATTTTGGCGGATTCAAAACTTTTATACAATACCATTGCATTTGCACTTTTAAATTGGCAGAATTTATTTTGGCAATTTTGTTCTATCCATGAACATAAGCGAAAATTTACTCTCCGCGAAAATAACCCGCTATACAGTATGTTCAGGTTGCAATAAGTGTGATTGACACAATTTATAAGTGTAATGAATCAGTTTCTGCTAAAGTTAGAGTAGTTTTTTGCTGATAATTTGAATCTCATACAAATATTTATATATATTTTACTGTAATCCTACATTTATACCCTTGTATTGTTTTGACAACTAACCCTGCTAAGGTCATTCTGGATGCAGCTGTGAGATAACTTCTCATACAAATACTGATGGTTTGGGGAATGGACTTTTATTCTGTTTGTGAGTTAATTTGACCCAGTTTACACATAAAAAAACCTCTAAAAAATGTGTTTAATGCTATAATGAAGTACATTCTTTAAAGCATATTTATAAATCTATAAACTTATACTCAAAGACAATCACAGTACATCCACATTACTTTTAAAAGAAAAGTAAAAAGTATATGTCATAAGATAACAACCAAACAACATAAAAAAAAAAACAAAGACACCCAAAGGTTAAAATAATTATGATGCTCAATAATTAACAGGTATTTGAAATCAATAAAAAATGAAGTACCTTAATTGAAACATCCAATTTATTTTATGTTCAAAAAGACATGATTGTCATACAGGTGGTAAATGAAAGCCAAAGAAAGTTTTGATAATAAGGACTGTTTACTTTCATAACTTATATAAAAAGAATGTTAAAATTAATGTACTTGTTTGAGTTTATATTATTGTTACCTGTATACTAACTTTAGTATTGCTTATTTACAGTATGTTTATGTTGTGAACATGTTGTAATTCTGTACAAATCACAAGTTGTACAGACTTTTTGTACAAATCACAAGTTGTACAGACTTTTTGTACAAATCACAAGTTGTTCAGACTTTTTGTGCAAGTGACCTAATACGATATATATGGGGTCAGTAAATTTCATATGGGGTTCGAGCTTCGCTTTCACCCCATATGGAATTTACTGACCCCATATATATACGTATTAGGTCACTAGCACACTATGTAACTAATAATATTAGAATTAAAGGAGGTGCAGGGAAACATTGATTGATTGTTGGTGTTTACCACCACTTTCATCACTCCTGGCTCTATCATGTTTTAATAGGTGAAGGAAGTTGGAGTACTCAGAGAGAACCACAACATTCAGCAGGAAACGTAGCAATCTTAGTCAATTAAGATCTGAGTCAAACATACAGCTGTGAGCATGGTTTGAAACTAACAATCTCAGAGTTGACAGGATAGTTTTCACTGTAGATGAACTACTTAGACTGGTAGACCACCATAGCCAAGCATCGATGAGAAAAAAACAAATAAAACAAGTATAAAAGGATTAGACATATGGTGAAGGACTAGTGCCTCATGTGGCAAGGTTAAAATTATTGAGCCATATAAATATTAAAATTGCTAAAAGAATTAGTTGGTTTCCAGTATAGCAGGGACGGTTAAACTGGTTTTGTGAATACCAAATCTTACATACCCATTTGTTTTTAGATAATGGAAGAAACAGTTATTCTAAGCCAACTTATTTTTATGCATAATTGTTTCCTGTTAAGTCCTTTCTTGCCAACTTTGTGATGAGTTATATTTGTGATTTTCTAATTTTGTTGATGTATTCATATGGAAAAAGTTTCTGGTTGAGGATTTTCAATATTATTTATTTTCTGTGTTATTTTTCTACTGAATCACATATGTCTTTCAGTGTATTTAAAGAGTTTAAAAAAATTGCGATATAATTACTAATATATATTCTTGACAATTGGTTTGTGCAGAAATAATAAATGTTTTGAATAATATTTGTACTCTGAAATATAGAGTTAAATTTTAACATTTTGCTTTTTATATTTCATGAAAAATATTTATGGTATTTTGATATTTTAATTTTTTATCTGTTTTTGGGGGTGTTTCCCATCTTCAAACATGACAAATGGTGGTAGTCATATTGTATTTGTAACTATAGCTAAACCAATGACTAGATTAACAGAGTGAATGTTATAAAATTGTTAGCTCTGCTTGTTGCTTTTTTAGTTAAGTTTTGTTTGAATTGATATTTGTAATACCGTATAGGGAGTTATTTTTCGCGGGTGTAAAATTTCGCGATTTACATTTAATTAGGTATACAAAATATTTTGGCAGTTATTATTTTGGCGGATTCAAAACTTTTATACAATACCATTGCATTTGCACTTTTAAATTGGCAGAATTTATTTTGGCGATTTTTTTCTATCCGTGAACATAAGCGAAAATTTACACTCTGCGAAAATAACCCGCTATACAGTATGTTCAGGTTGCAATAAGTGTGATTGACACAATTTATAAGTGTAATGAATCAGTTTCTGCTAAAGTTAGAGTAGTTTTTTGCTGATAATTTGAATCTCATACAAATATTTATACATATTTTACTGTAATCCTACATTTATACCCTTGTATTGTTTTGACAACTAACCCTGATAAGGTCATTCTGGATGCAGCTGTGAGATAACTTCTCATATAAATACTGATGGTTTGGGGAATGGACTTTTATTCTGTTTGTGAGTTAATTTGACCCAGTTTACACATAAAAAAACCTCTAAAAAATGTGTTTAATGCTATAATGAAGTACATTCTTTAAAGCATATTTATAAATCTATAAACTTATACTCAAAGACAATCACAGTACATCCACATTACTTTTAAAAGAAAAGTAAAAAGTATATGTCATAAGATAACAACCAAACAACATAAAAAAAAACAAAGACACCCAAAGGTTAAAATAATTATGATGCTCAATAATTAACAGGTATTTGAAATCAATAAAAAATGAAGTACCTTAATTGAAACATCCAATTTATTTTATGTTCAAAAAGACATGATTGTCATACAGGTGGTAAATGAAAGCCAAAGAAAGTTTTGATAATAAGGACTGTTTACTTTCATAACTTATATAAAAAGAATGTTAAAATTAATGTACTTGTTTGAGTTTATATTATTGTTACCAGTATACTAACTTTAGTATTGCTTATTTACAGTATGTTTATGTTATGAACAGGTTGTAATTCTGTACAAATCACAAGTTGTACAGACTTTTTGTACAAATCACAAGTTGTTTAGACTTTTTGTACAAATCACAAGTTGTTTAGACTTTTTGTACAAATGACAAGTTGTGCAGACTTTTTGTACAAATCACAAGTTGTACAGACTTTTTGTACAAATCACAAGTTGTTCAGACTTTTTGTACAAATCACAAGTTGTGCAGACTTTTTGTACAAATGACAAGTTGTGCAGACTTTTTGTACAAATCACAAGTTGTACAGACTTTTTGTAAAAATCACAAGTTGTACAGACTTTTTGTACAAATCAGCAGTTGTGCAGACTTTTTGTACAAATCACAAGTTGTGCAGACTTTTTGTACAAATCACAAGTTGTGCTGACTTTTTGTACAAATCACAAGTTGTGCAGATTTTTTTTGTACAAATCACAAGTTGTACAGACTTTTTGTACACATCACAAGTTGTACAGTCTTTTTGTGCAAATCACAAGTTGTACAGACTATTTGTACGAATCTCAAATTGTACAGACTATTTGTATAAGTCTGACCCTGACTTTCTGTCTTAAAGAGTGAACAAAATTGATGTTTTTATTAAAAAAAATGATATACTCCAACATACCATTCATCACTGTCCACTTTGACATAAAGCTGGAAATGAGGATACCAGATTTGGTCATAATCTATTTATATTTATTCTCAGATTTTAAGTAGCCAAGATGTCTTTGTATCAGTTTAACTTTAAATACATCAACAATTTAATCCTGGAATCTATGATGAGTTTTTTTACAACCACTAGGTCGATGCCACTGCTGGTTGATACTTTCTCCCCGAGGGTATCACATCTTCTTTTTTTCTGCTTCATATTTCACACTTTTGTTTTCAATCTAGACTGTCTAAAAATTTGTTTGTAAATTTTGTTTTATTGTTAGAACAATTTGGCCTTTTGTCACCATGACCAGAAGATCATAAAATTACTATCTGAAATACAAAGTAAGTACAAACTTAACGTTGTTTCACTAAAAAGAACTTATAAAAGACATACAAACTTTCCCAGCTGGTATTTGAAGAATAAACTTTATTTTACTGAACCATAAGGTATTTTCTTTGCAAGATATTGTGTTTTTGTCATATCTCAATAATACTCTTTTTCTATAAATTACATGAAACTGAAAAGAAACTGAATAGGCAATTTGTTGAATTTTGTTTCATAATTCCAGTCATTTTACAAAATGAATAGGTATTTTAAGTCATTTTATATAGTATAAAAATTAGAAGATGTGGTATGATTGCCAATGAGACAAAACTCCACAAGAGACCAAATGTCACAGAAATTAACAACTATAGGTCACCGTACAGCCTTTAACAATGAGTCATACATTTGCATTTTTATATATTGCCTGTCAAGTTTAGGCATTTTGTAAATTGCCTGAAAATTCAGTCATTTTACAAAATGTCAAAATTAAGAAAATGCCTGTAACATATACCCACTAGCTTGCAGTCATGTTAATATAACATTGATAAGCTAAATGGAAGAAACTGTTTTTGTTTTACCTAATTATGTTTAAAGGTTCTCAAAATACTTATAAATTGGTACATAAATTCAGTACAAATATTACACATTTTACAAAGTTACAAACATAACAAATGATATTTATTTATAAATATATTGTGTACAATCATATAGTTAATGCTTTTATATGAAGTTTAGCTTTAAAACAGTTTGTTTTATAATGTTACTGATATTGTTATTTTATTTGATATAATGTATGTTATGAATAAAGATTTACATGTACATCTTTTATTGTTTTGTGAAATATATATTTACAGGGTTCACTTCATTTTCCTGCCTAAAAACAATGATCATAGTATTTGTGTGAAAAGCTAATTGATGACTTAAGTAGCAAAATTATTATACGACCGCAAAAAAATTTTGTGGTTGTATATTGGTATGACGTTGGCGTCGTCGTCCGGCATCGTCGTTCGAAGACACATTGGTTTTCGCACTCTACCTTTAGTATAAGTGAATGGATCTTTTTGAAATTTTACCATAAGGTAAATACCACAAAAGGAAGGTTGGGATTGATTTTGGGGGTTATGGTACAAACAGTTAAGGAATTATGGGCCAAAAAGGGGCCAAAAATAAGCATTTTCTAGTTTCCAGACAATAACTGTGGAACGGTGTATGGATCTCTCTGAAATTATACTACAAGTTTCCATACCACAAAGGGATGGTTAGGATTTGCTTTGGGGGGGTTATGGCTCAAACCGTTTAGGAATTAGGGGCAAAAAAGGGGGAAAAACAAGGTTGTCCTGGTTAATGGACAAATACATAATTTAAAGCAGTGTAAGGGAGATAAATCAAATACATCATTGAAATTATCTCCCTTACACTGCTTTTTAATTATGTATTAAGTAATGGTTAATGAAAACAATAAAGATAATTTAAAACAGTGTAAGGGAGTCCAAATACAACGTTTTGGTTACTTCCCTTACACTGCTTTTAAATTATGTTTAAAGAAATGCATATTTATAAAGGAAGACCAGTAAAAATATCTGCAAATGTTGCATCTTTTTTTTGTTTACAAAAAAATCCATATGAAAGATTTGACACTATATTTTTAATTCTATTATAAAATAGATTAAGTTAGCACTATGGTAAATTTAAATGGGTAATTATGGTTGCCAACTCCATTGGAAATTTGAATTGAGATTATGACCATATCTTGAGGGAAAGAATTTTTTGGGGGAAAAAGGGGGGGGGGGGGGGGGGGGGGGGGAATAAAAAGAAATTGTGGGGGGTCAATTTTTTCTCATTTCAGAAATAAAAAACAATTATTCTTCAAATATAATTTTTTTTCAAATTTCAAATATTGAAAAATTTCAAGAAGTAATCTTTAATTGAACAGTATGGCGCATTAGATTTGTAAAATCTTTGATCACATTTATTTATTTGTTATGCCGAATCTAACTGTATTTAGATTTTTAATTTTGGGTCCAGTTTTCAAATTGGTCTACATTAAGGTCCAAAGGGTCCAAAATTAAACTTTGTTTGATTTTAGCAAAAATTGAATATATGAGGTTCTTTGATATGCTGAATCTAAACATGTATTTAGATTTTGGATTTTTGGCCCAGTTTTCAAGTTGGTCCAAATTGGGGTCCAAAATTAAACTTTGTTTGATTTCAACAAAAATTGAATATATGGGGTTCTTTGATATGCTGAATCTAACCATGTATTTAGATTTTTTATTTGTGGACCCCATGATCAAATTGGTTCATATTGAGGTCAAAAGGGTCCAAAATTAAACTTTGTTTGATTTCATCAAAAATTGAATTATTGGGGTTCTTTGATATGCCAAATCTAACCGTGTATTTAGATTTTTAATTTTGGGTCCTGTTTTTTAAATTGGTCTACATTAAGGTCAAAAGGGTCCAAAATTAAACTTAGTTTGATTTTAACAAAAATTGAATTCTTGGGGTTCTTTGAGATGCTGAATCTAAACATGTGTTTAGATTTTTGATTATGGGCCCAGTTTTCAAGTTGGTCCAAGATAGGGTCCAGTAATTAAACTTTGTTTGATTTCAACAAAAATTGAATATATGGGGTTCTTTGATATGCTGAATCTAACCATGTATTTAGATTTTTTATTTGTAGGCCCCGCTATCAAATTGGTTCATATTGAGGTCAAAAGGGTCCAAAATTAAACTTTGTTTGATTTCATCAAAAATTGAATTATTGGGGTTCTTTGATATGCAATATCTAACCGTGTTTTTAGATTTTTAATTTGGGTCCCGTTTTTTAAATTGGTCTTCATTAAGGTCCAAAGGGTCCAAAATTAAACTTAGTTTGATTTTAACAAAAATTTAATTCTTTGGGTTCTTTGATATGCTGAATCTAAACATGTGTTTAGATATTTGATTATGGGCCCAGTTTTCAAGTTTGTCCAAGTTGTGGTCCAAAATTAAACTTTGTTTGATTTTAACAAAAATTGAATATATGGGGTTCTTTGATATGCTGAATCTAACCATGAATTTAGATTTTTTATTTGTGGGCCCAGCTATCAAATTGGTTCATATTGAGGTCAAAAGGGTCCAAAATTAAACTTTGTTTGATTTCATCAAAAATTGAATTATTGGGGTTCTTTGATATTCCAAATCTAACAGTGTATTTAGATTTTTAATTTTGGGTCGTTTTTTAAATTGGTCTACATTAAGGTCCAAAGGGTCCAAAATTAAACTTAGTTTGATTTTAGCAAAAATTGAGTTCTTGGGGTTCTTTGATATGCTGAATCTAAACATGTGTTTAGATATTTGATTATGGGCCCAGTTTTCAAGTTTGTCCAAGTTGTGGTCCAAAATTAAACTTTGTTTGATTTTAACAAAAATTGAATATATGGGGTTCTTTGATATGCTGAATCTAACCATGTATTTTGATTTTGGACATTGGACCATAATAGGTAAATTAAAAAAATTCAAGTTCTTAGACCACATTCTTTCTGTGTAAGAAACCTATGCTGTGTCAAATATTTAATAACAATCCAAATTCAGAGCTGTATCAAGCTTGCATGTTGTGTCCATACTTACCCCAACTGTTCAGGGTTCGACCTCTGCGGTCGTATCAAGCTGCGCCCAGCGAAGCATTTTATTTTTATTTTGTTTCTAAATTTCAACTTATTTCAAATATTTAAGAATCATAGCACAAATTGAAGCAACTTTATTAGACTTTGAAAATAGATGTTTTTCTTACATGCAATTACTAGTATTTCTTTTTGATCAGAATCAATTTTATCATCCAATTTACACCATTAAGGACAGCTATTGACCATATCTGATCTTTACAACAAAGATGCATTTTCACCTCAACATTAATCAATGGTCAGCATCAACATGTTGGTATGCAAAGTTAATATGGAAACGGAAGAAGTCTTTGTTTAAATTTTTTCTGGTAGACCTAGGTAATTTGAGACTTGACAACAGTTGTCAACCCTCATCTTATTTGGTGAAATATAGAGGTAACAGTAGTATACCACAGTTAAAAAGTCATAAATCGATTAAGAGAAAACAAATCCTGGTTACAAACTAAAACAGAGGGAAACACATCAACTATAAGAGGAAAACAACAGAACAACAGAAACACTGAACTGCAACAAAAACAAACGCCAACATACATAGAAACGAACTATTTGATAACAACTGCCATATTCCTGACTTGGTACAGGGCATTTTAAGAAAAAATAGTGGGTTGAACCTGGTTTTATGGCTAGCCAAACCTCCAGCTTATATGGCAATGCTAAAAATTATCTCTAAAATGACAACACTACGTAACAGAAATACAGTACAAACAAATGCAAGAACTCTCAGCACAGAGAAACTGAAACCCTTATGTTGACTTTTTGATGTCTTTTATGTTTGCCTGGTGTCATTTTGATGTCTTTTATGTTTGCCTGTTGTCATTTTGATGTCTTTTATGTTTGCCTGGTGTCATTTTGATGTCTTTTATGTTTGCCTGGTGTCATATACACAAACTTCACATCTGTTTTTCATTTAATTTAGTTGATCAAATATTTGGCAAACAAACACAAGAATGAGGTGCTTAAATGTAGGAAAGAAGACCTAATAAAATAGAAATACCGATTGTGAAGAACATTTTTCCACCGAAAAAAAAATCTCAGTCATTAGAATATTCTAGTAAACTTTCAATTCCATCAGGCAAAGTTGACCTTAGATGGTTTTGGCTAGTTTTTAGGTCGTTTTTGGACGTATCACTCTTCAACTGTTTCGGTTCTTATACTTCCTTGGCTTTGATCGTTCCTGATGAAGATTAAGCTAGAAAAGCGCTTCGGACGCATGCAATTTATAAAGTGTTGTTTTCATTTTTTAAATCTCTGGCTTTTACATTTTTGGACTTGAGCGTCACTGAATAAGGTCAATCTAGAAAAGTGTTTCGAACGCCTTAGTTTTACAGTGTTATTTTCATTTATAGAAAATGTTCATGCATCTAACTGTTCCCAGTCAAATAAACTTCACATTTTGCCTTACTTCTGATTCAATCCTTTACATAGATAAATGACCTGACGAAATCCTGAAAAAAACCTTTGAATATGTCGTTGCAAAAAGAGAAGGAATCATAAAAACAACTGAAAAATTAACAACAGTGAGCAAAACATTACACAGAAAGCTAAGTATTAAGCAATACGAACTTCATAAAAAAACAGAGGAAAAAGGCGGAAGATACCAAGGTATATTCAAAACGCATATGTCAAAGAAAAACTGACACTTAATGGCAAACACCAAAAAGGAAGCAAGGACAAACAAGTCCACAAAACTATACATTGAAGACCCATTGGTGGCCTTCGGCTGTTGTCTGCTCTATGGTCGGGTTGTTGTCTCTTTGACACATTCCCCATTTCCATTCTCAATTTTATAGAAAACTAAAGACTCATTCACACTTTATGTCTGTTAAAAAAACACATCATTTTACAACTTTGGATGCCACTTCATGCTCTCGTGTCGGCTCATGGCAAGTAACAATTTGGTTATGTCTCATTCGATAATTTCTAACACTGTGAGGCATAGATCAAAAGGTCTACGTCCCATGGTCTCTGATGGATAGTCAACTGTTGTCTCATTGGGACACAAACCACATCTGTTATTTTGGTTTTATTGAGGAATTTTGCAGTATTATCAATTTTTTTCCCCTTCGCTTTACACTACTATTCTCCGTTCTCAATTGAAAGATCGACTACATCATCTCATTAAACAGAGCTTTTTCTCAAAAATAGAGAACGTAGATT